GAGTCGGCCTCCAGACACGTAGCTATGATGACGTGGCGAACGTCGCCCGTCGCAGCTCTTATCGTTCTCGGCTAATTACACGTTCACTGAGCTTACGCACTTCACCCGTGAGTTATTTGTAAAATATAGGTAATGTTTCAAAGAGAGAAAGAATTCATGTTAATAATTAATAACATAAGTGCTATACATTATACTGTAAGATCCGAATTCCGAATCTACATCGACCTTCACCGAGCTGATAATAGAATGAAACATCTATCATGAATTTAATATATTAGAAAATATATAAAAATGGGTTATTTAAAAAATCCTGCATATACTATTTTTAATAAATAAAAAAAAGATTAAATTTTGCAATATCAAGATAATAACAAAATGTTGTCCCAACTTACAGTATAAAACGTATAAAATGTGCAGCCGGTGGGTTGTCTATTATATTTACCTGGGCGAACTACTGGGTTGCCGGCAACAATATTAAATACCCTAGATACACCAACACGAAAAAACTCATGCCCGAAACCTGTCCACAAGGTACATTGGACGATCCACGGAGCTCCGTAAGATGATCGCATAGTCTAAACAATATAAGGCATTATTTAAACATTGAAAATCACCTTTAAAGCATATTATATAAGGTCTTAATTAAAACGCACGCGCACGTATTCTCAATAAATAACAAATATCGTTTTATTTTAATTAATATAATTATATAACATATTTAATAATGACAAACACGCTATGTAGTGATTTTACAAAATATTTCCTAAAGACATCTACCAAAACGTTTCCAGCCTAGGCCTAGTAGGATCCATATCGGAAAGTGTGCGTCGTAATTAAATAATATTCCATACGCATCATGGCTTTTCTTCATTTCCACAACGCGTTGAGATCGAATAGCATGTCAGCCACGACACGAATTTCGCTATTTGGTCTTTCTGTGATTGCCACAACGCGTCGTGCGCGGTTTCATTAGAGCCATAACACGAATTTCGCGATGTGGATGTTTTACTGTGACCACAACGCGTTGTGAGCTATTTTTCCGCTCACCTAGCGTTTTCGATCTTTGAGCGTAACATATATACAAAATTTCAGCTCAACCGGTTGAAGATATCTGCTTCAAAATTGAGTTGCAAGATTCAAACCGAACAAACATAGTTACATACCTACCTATATAGCAAGTTAATTAAAAGCTTGTAAAAAACCCGACTGCTGCTTTTTATTCTTACATAATTCAATAAAAGAATGTTATTTTAAACATACAAGCTTAGCATACAAGTTATATTTATTTGTAAGTCATGGCGCAGTCGGGTAAAAAGGAAATTACCTACAATGTAGGTAAATCTTACTAGGTAGGTACTGTAGGGATCGTTTCATGCAAACTAATTATTATAGATCTTAACGGGATTGTTACCATGTACCTTGTTTTTTATGAGTCTCCAATATTTCGGCACTGTTGCAAGCGCCATGATCACGGAGTAACTCATAAAAAACAAGGTACATGGTAACAATCCCATTAATATCTATAATGTTAGTGACCATGAAATTTTAAAACTAATTATTGTCATTGAAACACTTTTATTTTCAGGATATTACATTAGCATTATCAACAAACAAAATACTGTTTTTTAAACTCCGCACAAATCTCCCTATTTTATAATTTTCCAGCTATCAATTCCTGTTAACAATCCGTCTCTTTTCCAAATTACCTAATAACCTGCCCGTATACACCAAAAACATCCGATCACTACAATACCTACCATTTATTACTCTCGTAAATTATTTCATAATGATATTTCATCTAATTCAATAATGTATGTAGTTTAGTTATTCAAAAATGTATGAAGTTAAGTAAGTAGATAGCCTATAGTCTAGGAAACTACCTACCTATTATGTAGTTTTGTTTTTAACGCGAGCGCAGGTAGATTACTTATTTTTTCACCCTATCCACTTATATATTATTCCAGATATTTCCCTCCAAAAGAACACCGTTATAATATAATAGAGGGAAGAATAGAGGGAAATATCAACAGAGATGGGTCCGTTACGGTTTAAAATATTAGTTTCCACAAAAAACGCATTTCGACAAAAGTGTCGCTTACGATAATTTGGCGAGTGTCGCTTACGATAATTTGGCGGTAAGGGCTCGAGGTATGTCTATGCCATTTATGTTATCCAACGGCTGCTCATTCTATACGTTTTATACTTTAAGTCAGGACAACATTTTCTTATCTTGATGTTGCATCATTTAATTAGAAATATTGTTTTTCTTTTAATTAATAAAAATTGTCTCCAAGATTTTTTAGGCAACCCATTTTTGATGTGTAACATCTTTCCTCTCGCTTTCCTGGAATTTATGGACGGAAATGTGTAGTAGGAAGTCGCGAAAGAGCGCGCTATTTGATTTGATTTTAGAACATAACGTTAAAATAGCTTATTCCTTTTGTAGTAGGTTTTATTTCTTTTTTACTAATATAAGGTGAGGTTTCAAATGTTACACATCATACGCGACTACTGTAAGGCTCGCTCGTTTTTTTTTTAAAATATTTTCTAATATACTAAATTCATGATAATATATGTTTCATTCTATTATCAGCTCGGTGAAGGTCGCTGTAGGTTCGGATCTTCTACTATTAATTTTGATTAATTTAATAATGTATTTATTCTCACGACCATTAACTAACTCTAATAATAAAACGAAGAATAAGCTTGCACTAGTTTTGCATTGTTACCTTACAAATTGCAAGATTGGTGGACTGATTTTGATGATTCTTTATTTTCGAATAATGGTCTTAAAAAATTGCTGAAGATATCGTATTATTTTAATTTCCATATAAAATTTACTCTCTATTTTATCCGCTTCGTACGTAGTAATGTGTGGCTTCGTATTTCATTTTTGCGATGAAAAGACACTTCCATATCAAAATCAGTTGGCGCAGCGGTTCAGTTCCGCAGACGCAAAGCGTAACAGATGGACAACTGATTAACTTTATCATTTGTAATATAAGTATGAATTTGTTAAGAAACTGGCGAAGTGGCACTTATAATAACTTATTTAGTTAACACTTACGAGGACACGAAGGCTGCATATTTTTTTATGAAATGGACTATTGCACTTTTAGTAGTAGTATGACGATCACTGTATTATGATTCATTCAAAATTAAAAGTGATGTAATATTATTTTATTATGACTGTTGTTTTCGTTATCGGATAATAACAACTGCTGATAGTGTGACTTACAGATAAATAACTGCAAAAAAATTCTAATTAGGTAAGTAGCGTTTATAGGAAATGTTAGCATGTCTGGGCGTGTGGTCATAATGGGTTTTCTGCAAAATATATATTAAAAGAATGTGTTTTGCGTCAGATTAGATAACTTAAAAAAAATATTCATTATTAAAGTGTTGGTATGGGAGAGGTAAATGCCGCACCAGTCACCCTCATCCTAATCAACTAAACACATATTTCAAAAATTTCAACATAAAACATTAAAATCAGAAATTTGCCTAGACCGAAAGCGAGATATTTAATTTATGTTAATTAATTCGAATGAAAATTAATAAAATGCAAAGAAACCATTGCATGAAAATCGCTTAGATTCGTAGTTACGGTTTTATTATTATAAACAAATTCTGAAGTATCATTCAACATGAACAATTAGTTATTAATCGTAGAATTGTAAATGATACTCGATGTCGCGGCAGGCGCAGCACTGATAAGGCGATTCTTAGTTAACTTTCTATCCTTGACACTAAATGTCTCTAACAATACTTGCCTCTTTTGATACAAGAGGTATTGATCGAAAATTTAATTCGTTAAGAGTTAAACTGGTGAATACACTTAGGCCGGACAAGACGAATATGTTAAGAGCCCTTTCTCATTTTTTGCAAGTTCATTCATAATTATTTTATAAGACTTGAAACATCACCCGTAAAATGCAATACAGTAAAAGCTCCTTATTCACGCTTCCTTTATTCGCGTTTCCACTATTCGCGGATTAAAACTTTGTAAAAAGCCGACGTAACGACCGAATTTTGTAAAAGGGCTCTTAAGAGAAAGGAAAAAAAACACATTTCTAATTAACAACAGTATACAGTAACAGTATATTTTTATTAAAAACTAGTCGACCTGGCGAACTTCGAACCGCTTTAAAATGAACCGGAAATGTTGCACGTTACGTAATTAATGAAAAAATCTTCCGTTTATAAAAGAATTTATGTATGAGCCTTAATATAATGTTCTTATATATGGGCATAAGTTGCAATAAATGTCTATAATTTGAGTATGAAACAAAAAAACCTTAAAATTTGGATTAAAACCACTTTCTTCGATTTACACCAAATTCCAAATGATGTCATTTGGAACACGGTGTAGTAATTTCAATGGAGTCTTATTCCTAAACAATATACACATAGGTAAAATACAATAAATCAATACACATTGCTTGGTAAAAATGTAACAAAACCGCAAAAAAAAAATGTTTTGCTATAAATGAACGCATAATTTTTATTGATTGAAATGGCACTGCTGAGTTACTATTTTATCAACCCGAGCTCGTCCAGATATGCCATTTATTAAAGGTATTCAATATAACCGAGAGAGAGGAAATGCTACTAGAACATATTTTTTTCTATAATGCATTATATTTGCTTATATTATAATTTTCCCTATTCATTATTAGCCCTGTTATTGTTCCCTATTATTTATATATATTATTAATTAATACCCTTCAGAAAATATTTAACAGATAATATTCGTAAACCAAAACATTCATTATGCTATTGCTTAGCTAAGAATTCAAATGGTTATCTGACTTGCACATATGTACTGCTCGATATTACGTATGCGAAATTTTTACATTTAAACTCTGAATTGAAAAATCCGTTTTATGGAATACTAAACCCTGTCTTGTGTTAAATAATGTTACGATACAGTAATAATGGGTATGTAATTTTTATATAGTTTTCGTCTTTTCCTTATTTGTCTATGCTGTTTTTTACAGAAAAGTAAAGCGGATAATAGTGTTGAGAACCTTGACGACGGGCGGCTACGAGCGTTGCTCGACGAGGCTATCACATACAAGTGTCCTAAGGATAGGGAAGGAAAAAGCGATCTATTTAAGGTATAATATATATTAATTTCCCGGTAAAACACATCTAACAATCTCGTATATGACTGAGAAAATTTGTCGCTCTCAAACGAAAGGTCTCAGTGACTCAGGTCTGGGAAAGGCTGTGAGAGGACGACTTCATGCCTCTCCCACACCTGCGCGACGAAGCTTTGACTATTTATCAATAGTAATTCAATTTTCTATCGTTAAAAGGCTTTGCAAATCAATAATTTTATAGATAACGGGTTGCATACAAAATCAAAGCTAAAAACTTTCCGTCAGTTTAAGTTGAACTTAATAAAAACTATCTTACAAAGGAATAAATAAGGTTACAAACAACAAAATGTTATTTTACACATACGACCTTATCATATAAAACGAACAAGATAAATTAAACAAATTATATCTGATACTTGAAAAAAAACGATAAAGGTGAAAAAAGGAAACTGTGAAATCTACCTTACGACCCACAAAATAAAATAGTTTTTACCAGTCATTGGTCAGCGAGTTACTTCGTTTTGTAATAACCGAACTAAATTAAAATAAGATCTCACGACTCAATTGAGGCTATATTTAGCGAGACGGATTTTACGCGCTGACCCGTTATCTATAAAATTGTTGATCGAAGTCCAAAGGACATGGTAAAATTTTGTATGAGCGACTGCCCTAGCTATATATTAATATTGAACTTAGTAATATTTAATGCCAAATGGATAAATATTAATGATTTCTATGAATAAAGTCACTTTTAAACCGAGACTATCTTTGATCCGTGTTTTGGAATAATATGTAATAAGTTTTACTACTTCAAGGATTCATAAAACCTCAGCATTTTTTTTATCGTCTTTAGTTATTATATATGATTCGGTACTTTCATTATATGAGTCATAGTAACAAGAGTTGGAAAGACAAATTCCCACTCTCAGCCCAAAGCTGTTGAACGCATCAATTACCAAAGCTTCGTCGCGCAGGTGCGGAATAAGCATCGGACTGTGTTTACGCCCTTACAGAATCTCCTGGAGGAGGCGGAACAAGACGACCAAGCATCGGAGGCGGTGGCGCGCGCATCCAGCGGCGGCGCCCGCGTGCGCAGGGGCGCGGGGCGGCGAGCGCTCGCGCACTCCAACTCGCTGCAGGACCTGGTGGCGGCCGCGCTGGCTGCCGAGCCTGCGCCGCGCCGGCCCCGCCCGCACGCGTCCGTGTCCGCGCGGGCCACGCACGGCGGTAGTCTGCCTTCCGGAGTCGACACGTGTGAGTAATACTTTAACATGCCACTATTGGAGAAGGCGGAACAGGACGACCCAGCGTCGGAAGCGGGGGCGCGCGCGTCCACCGGTGGGTCGACGTGCGGAAGGGCGCGGGGCCGCGTGCGCTCGCGCACTCCCAATTCGCTGCAGGATTTGTTGGCGGCCGAGCCCGTAACCGCGTGCGCCACGCACTGCGGCACGCATGCCTTCCGGAGTCGACACGTGTTATATGCACGTAATATCTTAACATGCTGGTATTGGAGAAGGCAGAATAGGACATAATAATGCCTCTTGTCTAGTTCATTTAGTTCATAGCTCGGTTCAGTATTTCAGTAGTCCTTTTGAGTGACCTTGTCAAGTTCAAAAACGTTTTGGACGCGTCCAAAAGGTACATTGGACGATCCACGGAGCTCCGTAAGATAATCGCGTAGTCAAAAACAATATAAGGCATTATTCAATGCAAATATCACCTTTAATGCAAACTGTATAAGGTCATAATTAATACGCATGCGTCAGAGTTATGACAGTTCGAAATGCAAGTTAGTAAAATTTAACGACTCATAGCTATATGCGGAGGAGTAAAGACCTTATTTCTTTGACTCGACGTGCAATTCTGAATGCGCTGTTGGTAAAATAGCAGGTACAAACCGCGTGGAAATAGAACAAAATTTGCTTCTAATGCGTTAAATTAACAAACATTGATTAGATACCTGTCGAAAAAAATACACTACGCACTATAAGTATTGTTTTCGCATTTTGTCACGGAGCTCAGCATTTTGACTTCAACGGTCCGCACCAAAAAGTGCTTGAGTGATGTTCAAACACTTTTTGAGTGGGACACTTTTTGAGCGCACGTGGTGTTTCTAGGATATTTAATACCGTTGACAGCATTAGCCAAAGCAATCTCGAAAGTCGGTAGGACCCCCAGTGCTGACCGAGGCGAGGTAAATGAAGGAATTCTATTAGTTTTTTCAAACACATTCCTCGATATACATCTTCGTACATGTCCGGTGGAAACGCAGCCCGATATAGGGGCTTCACAGTAATGTTTATTACAATTATAGAATGATTTAGAAAAAAAAATGTATTGTCTGTAAATAACAAAGCTAATTGCTACAATATTGCAGCGTTCCTGCTAGGTGAGGAGCCGACGCGCGCCGGCTACTTGGCCACGGTGCGTTGCGTCAACCCGCCGCCCTTCGCCGAGCGTCGCGTGTCCGCCTCCGACGCCAACTGCCCCGCAGAAATCGAGCTGTTGCACAGGTCAAACACTGACACTATTTTTTAATACTAGCCTGTTTGATTCAAGAATGATGTAGCTTTCTAGTGGTGAAGGAATTTGTGAAATCGGTTTAGTCGTTTTTGAGTTAACTTGGCCACGGTGCGGTGCGTCAACCCACCTACCGTCCGCGGAGCACCGCGTGTTCCCCTCCGACGCCAATTGCCCCGCAGAAAACGAGCTGTTGAACGGGTGAAACACTGATGCTATTTCTTAATAGTAGCCTACTGGAGTCAAGAACAATGTAGCTTTTGTACTGGTGAATGAATTTTTGAAATCGGTACGATAGGTTTTGAGTTAACTTAGCCACGGTGCGGTGCGTGAACCCGCTGTCAACCGCGACTAGCGACACACCCCGAATTCCTTCAGGGGCCGTCCATGACTACGTCCGCGTTAACTTCAGTTTTTTGAGATTCCCTCAGGAACCTAAATTTTTTCCAGGATAATATTCCTGGAACCAGGTAATGAAACTATAGGTATATATGTATTTTTGCGTAATTAGGTAATACATACACAAAGGACATGGTAAAATTTTGTATGAGCGACTGCCCTAGCTATGTATAACTACTCTACTTAGTAATATTTAATGGTGAATGGTTGAATAATTATAATTTCTATAAAAAAATCTCAGGAACTTTTGATAAAGTCACAATCTTGAAAATTATGAGAACTCTGACTATGTCATTACCTTATTGCAGTTAATAAAATATGTTGCCAATTATTAACAGAGTCACCAATTTCGAATTTTCTTAGAATCTTTATTCCTATTTCTCTGATTAACTCTCCTCAAAAAGTTTTTTAAAGCAAAAATAAATACAAATATTTTTTTAACGTCAGCCTGACAGTAAATCTGTGAAGTTTTATTTTGTCCATTTGCAAAATTAAAGGATTAATTATCATACAGCATTGTCTCAAGCCTGATCAAAATAATAAAATCTAAGGCCTAAAGCCTTCATTGATTTGTTATAATAAAAATTAGGGCCAAATATGCCTTAGTTTGAAGGAGTTTAGAAATAATATTGTTTATTTGAGAAATATTCTTTGTGTACATTTTTTGTTCATTTATATTGTAAAACGGAACATTTTCATTTTGAAGTAGACTTGAAGTCAATTTTCATACATTTAAATATTTGATTATTTCACGAAAGTTGTATGAGAATAATAAATACGTAATAATTCATAAACAAAATATTATAAAGTTTCGGGCTAGTGCGAAATAATTATACACGTTAAGGGCAGGTACTTAGCCATGTCCTTAACAAACTTTGACGTTTATAATTTAGTAGGATAAATAATAAAGATATCCGAATTTCAATTGGCGTTTGCGCGTTACTCTTGAAACCAATACATCTTTAGTTTATCGGACAAATGATTCTGTAATTTGCTGTAATTTTGTGGAGATATGTATAACAATCATGCCGACACGGTGGTAGAATAAAATTTTGAACAAATTTTCTTTAGGCAAGCTCTCCTACATGTAACCTGGGGATAATTTATTTTTCATCGTCTAATCGATCGTGTGGGGTATCGTTGAACAAGCCCTTTAAAATTACTTAGGGGTTCCTAAGACTATTTTTCGATTTAGGGATCCGTTTGCGAAATATTGTACTTTAAAGTGCTAATTTTTGTTCGAGTAGACCCCCCGTCCCCTCTAAAAGTCAACTATTGGCTTGAAAACCTAGAAAAATCATGATAATAGTGTTTTCATAACTTTTGAGGAAAATTATAACGGTTAAGATAGATTTGTAAATTTAAGAGTAATAGTCGTTCAACTTCAGTTAAAGAGAAAACTTACCTATTGAAAATTCCTTAGAAGAAAATACAAATAGTGACAGAGATGAAGTTATTGTTGAGTAAAACCTTGCATTGAAAAACAAAATCTAAAAAACATTATTTAAAAATTGTTTTTTTTTTATATCTTCCGATACAGAAAAGACTCCTGCTCAAATACACTTCTGGATCATTCATATCTATTGGCCCACCTTAGTTTAGGTTTCGATGGCCCCTACCGAAATATGATTGCTAGATTGAACAAAAACTGTTGATGCAGTTTTAAACCTGATATATTTTACCATCTTTTTCGATCGTATTGTTTTAAATTTGAATTCAGAATACCATACGACATGGAGCTACGCCTAACAAGTCGGATATACGCCTTGTTAAAGGCAATTGATTTTTGAATAAAAAACATGTTTTTATCAAATAAAGGTTTAATTTAATAACGCATGTTGCCTCCATGGGCATCTACCACAGCTCTCATACGATTAGGCATAGAGTTTATCAACCGCTCTATGAAATTTTGAGGGATCATCTCCCATTCCTCTTCTATGGCAGTTTTCAACGTCGTCTGGGCAACTGGCTGACGAGCCCTAACACGTCTTTTTAGCTCGTCCCACATGTGCTCAATGGGGTTCATGTCTGGGCTTCTGGCTGACCAGTCCATAACTGTGATGTTCACATCCCGAAGATATTCCCTGACGATGCCGGCCGCATGGGCTCTTGCATTATCATGCATAAAAAGGAAATTTGGGCCCACATAGTCCGCGTATGGTATTACGAGAGGTAGAAGCACTCACGAATGTACCTTTCAGCATTTAATGTTGGCAGCCGTGGTCCTGTAACAACCTCAAGTTGAGTTTTGCCGCTCGCGGATATACCGCCCCAGACAGTCCATGAGCCACCGCCATAAGCAACCCTCTCTTCAAAGCAGCATTGTGCGAAACGCTCTCCCTTACGTCGGTAGACCTTCTTGCTTCCATCATTGCCATGTAACACAATTTTAGACTCATCAGAAAAGAGTACACGGCTCCAATCTTTCTGTGTCCAATTTAAATGAATGCGTGCGAAATGAAGGCGCGCTGTTCGGTGGGCTCGCGTTAGTTTGGGCCCATTAGCTGGCTTGTGTGGTACCATATCGCGTTCTTTTAACCTTCTCCGAACAGTTCGAGCGCTCACAGATACTCCGTGGAAGTCGCGAATTTGTTTTTGTATTTCAATGGAGGTAAGGTGACGATTTCTCAAGCTGGTCGTCACGATGAATCGATCCTGCCTTTCAGTTGTGACCCGAGATCGTGGCCTTCCTTGGCGACGAACAAAGCCGCCAGCCTCTAGGTACCTCCGATAAACATTTCGGACCGCAGATCGACTTAAATTAAGTTGAGCACTCACGTTTCTTTGGCTGTGTCTGGCCTGAATAAGTGCCACAGCTTGGGCGGCGACTTCAGGTGAAGTATCCATAGATTATTGATAGAACCTCACCTTAATGTTAAGAATAAGTAATGTTTGTTGCAAAACCAAAGATATCAATCACTTTTTCAAGAATTAAATCCAAGTAAACCAATAAAATCAAGTTTTCTTAGTATTCGATTGTTTGATATCAACAAACAGGCTCCAAATTATCTTTTGTTTCTTTAAATTCTGTGTTCGAAATTCAAAAAAAGACTATTGAATGAAATTGTGAATGTGCCAGGTTCAAAACTGCATAGAAACTTTTTGCTCGACCTAATATAAAATTTTAGCTAGGACCAAACGAAACTGAAAATACAAGGTGGGCCAATAGATGTGTCCAGTCCAGAAGTGTATATTGTGGTAATGACAGGCATTATCCGTGCGGTGACGGAGAAATAATACTACTCACCGCCCCTTCTCTTCCCGTGGGTGTCGTAAGAAGCGACTAAGGGATATCGGAGCTTTCATCTGCTCTTCTGGTGGTAGGGTACTATAGAGTTCTACCCAGAAGGGATAGGACCTGGGAGCGTAGACGATAATTGAAAAATACTGATCGAGATAAATTATTTATTTCTTTTTATCATTCAGGCTAATATAAAAGTATTTTATCTAAATACGAGAGGAAGTTCTTGGTGCCTGAAGATCTAATCTTGAATGGAACCTTCTATCAAAAGACAGACGATTCCTCATTTCAAATCTTAAAATCACGACATTATCTTTTTAATATAACTGCCAACCGTAGGCATTGCAAAAGCAAAGAGTTTACTTAAACAAGGAGGCTGTAACGTTTCGGACGTCACATCCCTCCGGCACCTCTAGAAAAAAAAATTGTTTTGTCATACCAGATGACCGAACAAAATTTTTTTTTTCCTACCTACTACATCGAGAGGGTTCGACGGTCCTATCTAAAATCCCTACCTGCTTAAGGACATAAATACAACTGGGAGGTGGCCTTTACTACAGACTAGCCCTCACAATAAGTTTGCAAAACTTGCAAAAAAAAACTTTACGGGAAAAGAACCCTAACTGTTTGCAAAGTTTTATTGCAAAGACTTTACGGGAGCAAAACCTTAACAAAATCCCTCGCACATCTCCCTCCTAACCTTAATTTTACTTTACTTTACATCGACATCAGTCGGCAAAAACAAAAAAACAAAGCTAACCCTAGCTATAACTTAAATTACCCAAGCAATTTTTTTTTTATCCCATCTATCAGCAAAACTTTACCCTATCCCATTTATTAAACCATTAAATATCAAGAAAATTTATATTTTGAAACTTCATTACTTCCCATACTAAGTAGATGTACGAAACGAAATTCAAACTATTTCCTAAGATTCGTAAACATTAACTGGATTTGAGCAAAACCTAAAAGAATTTATAATTAATGTTTATTTTCGTACATCTTTAATAAAGATACAGACGTGGTCCACCACTTTATTGTCTTGTACTTTATTAGACACCCATGATGCGCAAACGTAATAGAAATTTTGGGTAAGGACATCTAGCATCAAACAAGATTAAACCCAATTCCCATGGAATACTAAGGGTTCCCTACCCCCAAGTCAAACTACTACAAGTGACGATTTTGACGAACGCGACGCGACCAAATTGAAACGAAAACGACGCGAATTCGTAGAGGGTGTCTCCATCATCTTCAGGGTGGATCATCGTCAGTATCGCTGACGTCTGCATGAGCGCCAGCCTGCTCTCTCTCGGGAAGTCCGCATCATGTGGTAGTACATAAAACAATCAAGAAAATATTAGTAAAATTCTTTACACCATTTTTCTTCAGTCGGGTAAGTTAATATTCAAGAAAACATTTATGATAAATCTTTATAGCCTCTTTTCCATAGTTGGATAAATTTTCAAAGTATAACATTATTATTCATTTATTTATTTATTTTACCTTACAGGGAATCGAACCCGTTTCCTTTTTTATAATAAGGGAATTTTCTTTATGGACCTATATTATCCTATTATACATTATACACTGTATATATTCTATCCTAATGCTAAATTAATCCTATCAATGATCATATTCAAAGTCAATTGAATAATTCCAAGTTGAACAGAGAATCGAACCTGTTACCTATCATTCTTATGGTTATTACCATATCAATAATCCATCTACTCAACAAATTACACTAAAGCTAACAATTAAAAGAAATGAAAATACTTTAATGAAACTACCCATTGATCTATCATAAACAAAATGTGTAAAAGTTCCTTATAATATGTGTATTGAAAAAAATTTCTAATAAAATGACAAAGTTATATTTAATATGCTTTTGAAATAAAATTCTAAAATAACTATTGTATTGAACCTTATTTACATACCACCAATGCTTTAAAACATTCATATAAACAATAAACTGAAATAAAATCTCATTAGTAACACAATATTATAATACTATCAACCTATTCGGCATAATATAAATTTTCATCATACACCGAATTATCACTATTCCTTTCATCATTCTTTTGTGTATATTGTCTTTTAAACTTGCACTTAATATGTTTGATTATTAATTGTTCATTATAAAAGTCTACTATCGCATTATTTCGAAGTAAGAAATCCTGTCCTAAGATGAGGTTATGACTAATATTTTCTACCACAAGAAAATCATGAATGAATAACACATTGTCTATCAATAATTTAAGGTTAACTTTCCCTATAACAGACAATTCTTTACCATCGACAGCTTTCAACTTCGTATCGCTTTCATCAATTTGTTGATGAATTCGATTAACTGTGTCCTTCGACACCACAGACACTGCAGCACCACTATCAATGAGCCCTACAAACTCCTTGTCACGACACGTTATATTAATTAATGGTTTGGACTCACTTGTATGCTGACTGTTGTTTTCTGACGGCTGTGAATGGTGAATTTCTTTATCAGCCATCTTCATTGAATCTTCTTCATAAAAAAATTTCTTCATTTGCTTCTTCTTCTTTGTTTTTTTCTTTTTGTTCATATTGCTGGAACAAAAAGTGCGGGGAATCATATGTTCGGGAGGGACAATGGGATGAGAAAGGACACTTTGGGAGGAAATGAAGTTTATTTCCTTCTCTTGTTCTTCTTCATGCCTTATTATAGGCGAAATTTTCGTCGCCTCGAAGTGAGCAAACGATGGTTGGATCGGCAGATTCCAACCAATTTCGACGCTTTCGTCCTCAAAAATGTCCTGCGCTTGTCGTAAAACATTTCTCAAATGTGTTTTATCACTGTATAACTGAAATGCGAAAAGATTTTTCGTATTTAAATTCGCATTTTTCAAGAACTGTCTAATGAAGCATTTGTCATCGATGACAGCTCCCGCTTTTGTGGCCAGCTCATCCAATACATAAAAAAAGGTCAATGGCTCTTCTGACAAGCCTTGTCTTCGTGAGAAAAATTTTTCCAACGCATTTATCGATGATGGAAATTCCTCACAAATTTTCTTTTCTAGAATCTGAAAATTCTCACAAGACTCATTAATATTTTTATAAAATAACAACGCAGGTCCACTTAAATATGCCGACAACACAACTCTTTTTGTATCCTCGTTGAAATTATTGATGGCGGCGATGATATTAAATTGACGAAAGAAATCGGTTACATCACCTTTTCCGTCGAATGTGGTCCTGGTCTCCATCTTCATTAAACTACTTCTTTCTTGATTTAAAATTATTTTTCACTCGCGGTACTTGAAGCTAACGCGGCGCGTCCCTCATATAGAGTTCTACCCAGAAGGGATAGGACCTGGGAGCGTAGACGATAATTGAAAAATACTGATAGAGATAAATTATTTATTTCTTTTTATCATTCAGGCTAATATAAAAGTATTTTATCTAAATACGAGAGGAAGTTCTTGGTGCCTGAAGATCTAATCTTGAATGGAACCTTCTATCAAAAGACAGACGATTCCTCATTTCAAATCTTAAAATCACGACATTATCTTTTTAATATAACTGCCAACCGTAGGCATTGCAAAAGCAAAGAGTTTACTTAATTAAACAAGGAGGCTGTAACGTTTCGGACGTCACAGTACCTAAGACCCGCCTGGTTTGTTGCCACCGTGCGCATGGTGAAAAACCCGTGAAGTCCTTCTCATGTGGTTACATTCGAGTGTGGTTGCCGCAACAAATTCGGTACAGCGGGGCATACTCCCACGCCTTCAACGTTGTTTGAGGTCGAGTTCTGCAATATAAGCGGACTCCACTCTAACCTGCTGTAGCTGTCCACCACCATCTAGAGACAGCACGGCCAGCATTGTTGTTCCTGACGGAAACACAAATACTTCCGCCTCCTGATACAAACTACCTTAACTATCCTTATATTATTATTTATATTGTTGTCGCCATCTCCGCTGCTTGGAAGATCCCTCCTCCGTAATGGGGCTACACGTCGAATTTGGTCCCCTGGCTAGAGTCAGTCGTGTGCCTCTACAGATCCCACACCGGCGATGTTGAGACAACTCTACTTTTTGAACACCTTCGTCGGACAGCAGATGACGCGCAGGAACAATTTCCCAATGCAGAATTGGTGTTTTTGGGGACTTAATGCTCACTACATTTTGTGGTTAAGTTCCTCCAAAACCGACCATGCAGGGATCTCTGCTCACGCATTGATGCTGATAGTTGATCAGCCCACCAGGACTCCAGATATTCCAAGTCAATCGCATTTACTGGTCCTTCTGCTCACGACCCATACACAGGGCTATCAGGTTGTAGTAAGACCCCCCCTGGGCTCGTCGGATCACTGCCTGATATCTGCCAAAGCACCACAGGCCAAGACCCCGCGTCCAACGGTGGTCAAACGTCGTATCTGGCAATATGGGTCTATCTGGTAGATTGGGACGGTATGCGCGACTACTTTGCGTCCGTCCCTTGGAAGCAGCGCTGCTTCAGCGACAGGGATCTATCGGCCAGCGCCGTTGCTATTACTGAGGAGATTATAATGGGTATGGATTTTTTATTCCTCATTCTAATCTCGTCAGTAAGGGCACACGTTAACCTCTGGTTCAATCGCGACTGTGCTGAAGCTGTTTCGCGTAAGTAAGAGGCATATCGTGCTTGGATCAGAGGACCCCGAGGTCGATTCACTAAAATCAGCCTTTTTTTTTTTTTTTTTTTTTTTTTTTTTTTTTTTTTTTTTTTTTTTTTGTTGACGGTGGAAAATGCATTTACGCACCATACCGCGCGCTTGCCAGGCGCGCGACGTGTGTGGGACTCCCCGGCGTGGAACAACGCCGGTCCTACCCACTAAAAACCACCGGTACCCTCCTCGGCCCTTATGAGGGCGCTCTGGGATCGGTGCACCTACGTGCGCCACTACACCAGAGCGTCCTAGGGCTGGCCCGGCCCAACGAGTGGACCGGGCGACGCGCCTATGGGGGGATTACTCTAGGGTACTAGGTAATCCCCAGACGGGGTGGCCTATGCCGAATGGCACCAAGGACGCGCGGCTGGCATGCCGCGCCCAGTCCACCTTAGGGCCGACGAAGACCGGCGGTCAAAGCCGCCTGTCTTCTTCGGCCCACCCGTCTACGCCGGAGGGGAGCGGCCAGAGCGTCCTCCTCCCGCTCCCTCTCCGCTGCCTCCTTCTGCCCCATCACAACCTCGCAGAAGGAGGCGGCAGCCTTCCATGCTCTCTCATTGCCAAGCATGGCTCGAACCATACTTGGCAATGAGAGCGCTCCACCGCCGAGCGCCGCCACCAACGTGCGGCGCTCGTTTCGCCAGGCCGGGCACACGATCAGTGTGTGCTCGGCCGTGTTCACTAAAATCAGCCTACAATTTTGCTTCCAAGGCCCGTAAGAAGGCTTACATCAGAGCGAAATCAGAGGAAAAATTTGGAGTCTGCCAGACTGACTACCACCCTTAATACAAAATTGAACCGTCGCCTTTTATCATAGTCTTTGTGAATTATAGACCCTTCATAGTGTGTTAGTTTGCTTCATTTTGTCTTTTAACCCAAAATATTTATTTTTACAAACATGGCAAATGTAAATTAATTTTAGCTGTGCATAATATTTAAAATGACCTAAAGTAATGAATCCAATATTTTGTTATAATTTAACAAACCGGCTACATAAATCGTAAATATTACAACTTAAGCGCTCGGAATAGAACGAGTGTAAAACTGGTAAAACTATTAAAAGTATCAAGTTAGTGTTTCGTCCGCAATAACACGTGAGGAAACGTAATATATTAGAAGTGGCGGGCAGCCGCACCGTGATCTCGTGTTTACTGTAGTTTTTTAAAATCCCTCGGGATCCCAATAGTAATTTGAGTTAAAAAGTATCCTATGTCTCAATCCAGGTCATAATCTATATGTGTATCAAATTATATCATAATTCATTCGGTAGTTTTTGCGTGATTAAGTAACAAACATATAAATTTTCACATTTATAATATTAGTAAGATTAAATCCAGAATATTTAATACGAGAAAAAAATGCACGCTGTCCAGGTAACGGAAGGGACTTGAAAATCTCAGCAGCTGAATGCTTAAAAAATAAAATAAATTAGTAAGATTACTTTTTAAGTATGTTGTCGGTGTGAGAGCGTTCGCCAATTGTTCGCAGAAGGAGTAAGCCAGTGTTCCCGGTCACATACACGGCACGCGCCACTCTCGAAATCGGCAGCGGCAGCGTGAGCTCGGGCCGCGCGGTCACCACCACTACCGCGTCCAATCAGGTGCGTACCCCCGCCCCGGCACTCCCAAACCGCAACCAAACCAGACTCATGAACGCTTTGCACCGCCCCACCGACTCCCAAGTCGTTAAACGCTTCGAGTGTGAACCGCGCGGCCCGCGACTGCAACACGATATAGACATGTTCAGAATCTCCTGGACAGATATCACTGCGAGATACGCACCTGAGAAGGAAACGCAGGAAGCTTTAGAGCTCACCTCTCAAAAACATTCTACTGGAATTGGAACGGCGTTACTAGGCCTAGAACATGACAAGAAAACAGCGACTACCAGTAAAAAGAGGGAAACTTCCGCCCAAAACATGTCTACTGGAAATACAACTGCCATACACACTCGCAAATCATGCCTAGAGCAAGATAAGAAAACAGCGACGACCAGTGAAAAGAGGGAAACTTTTGCTCAAATCGCGTCTCCTGGAAATGCAACTGCAATAATCACTCGCAAATCAAGCCTAGAGCAAGATCAGAAAACAAAACTTATCAGTGACAAGAGAAAAACTGTTACGCAAAACCCGTCTCCTGGAAATGTAACTGCAATACTGACTCGCAAATCAAGCCTAGAGCAAGATAAGAAAACAGCAATGACCAGTGAAAGGAAAACACCTCGAGATAAGAAGGCTAATGCTCGTCCCTGTCAAACCGGACCATCTCATGAAAACAACATATCAGCATCTTTCCGTCAAACCCAGTTGCATGATAGCAAAATAAAGCCGCTTCCGGTGCTTCAAAAACAGCAGTTGCCAGAAAACAAAACAACGTCGCAGCCTAGGGGTACAACACAGCTATTGATTGAAAACAAAATGACGACGCAACCGATGCGCCAAACAAATCTATTGCTTGAAAACAAAATGACAGTTCAACCGATGCGCCAAACAAATGCATTGTGTGAAAACAAAATGACGGCGCAGCCGAAGCTTGAAGAATCACCATATTCTAAAATGCAAAATATGACAACTAACTCTCAAACTAAACTACATAATGATATGTGGCTGCACGGTGTTAATAAATGGTATGAAGGCTTAGATGCTTACGCTGCGACAAATAAATGTTTAAATAAAATACCGACGCAACATGAACTAAATTTTCTAGAAATTAATGATGACAATAGTAGTGTTATTGCAATTACAGAAGGTATGCAAAATAACGACATAGCTAGAACTAATGTAATCTCGGATATAAATATTCATAGTACATCTAGGGAGCCTCAAGAAACGGAAAAAATGATTGGTCGTAGCGATGACAATATAACCAGGGCCAATGAAAACTTACGTGATGATGAAGAATGTGATATAATTTTAAGAAAAAAATATCGAGAGAGAGTAGGTCGTTCCTTGACAGTGCCTAATTTAACCTCAATTAATCCCAGGAATATTAGGCCGATGACAATAGGCACCATTCCTTCACCTGTCAATGGACCTTCTATTAGTGTTAAAGATAAAGATGATGTTAATTTTTTAGAGAATAATAATGTTAAAAATATTTCTATAGTAAACAAAGTTAATGAGCAAACGAAGACTGAGCAATGTGATAGCACCAAAGATATGGTCGTGTCTAACGCGGCGAAATATTTACCTAAACGTGATAGCATTAAAATTATTACAAATATTAATAAAAATGACAAAAAAATAGAAGATTGTTCACCAATAAAATTCGAATTACGCACACAAAAGCAAATAGGTAATTCAGAATGTTCATCAAAGAAAGAACAGTGTGTTACATTGAATAAACCTGAAAAAAAACCCGATACATGCGACGGTATAGAATTGGTAGAAATTTCACAATGCGATAAAAACGTGAAGATGGATTCATTTTCTCAGTATTATTCTAAACAGAAAAAAATATTTGAAATGTTAAAAGAAACTGAAAATGAAAACTGCTGTTTAACAGAATTAAAGGACATGGTTTCTGATCAACAATGTAAAAGCAAGAATTCATTTGAACAATACAATTTTGAACAACAAAATTTACTGAAATTGTTAAAACACCAGGATTGCGAAGTATATGAAGAAGTAAATGAGTGTAATCAACAGGAAGATGCAGATGTTGATAACAATGTAGCAAACAGCGAAAAACTAACATCGTCAACAACGAACATCAATAAAGACAAAACATCTTCTATAGACAGGACTTCAAATGACATTATCATAAAGTTAAACACACAACACAAGAAACCCGACGACGAAGATTCACGAGATCATCTTATACTAGCAGAACTGCAGCATAACGCTTATGTTTTCCTAACAATGCCTAACCGCTTTTTCCAAACAAATAACATAGACAAAAAATCAGTACATATTCGAGAAATACAAAATGACGTCTCTGAAAATAGAGAAGTCCGAAGCGCTCCAAAGAATTCCAAAAGGGGGAAAGATAAAACAGTTGGACTATCTGAAGCGAAAAAAAGAGAGAACATCAATAGAACAGCCCTTAAAGTGCTTCTGTTCGAAAAGAACAAAAGGGATTCTATCAAAGCAGAGGCGTCTTCTGAGGCCAATAAAGAGGTAGGGGCATTTAACTTACGTTTAATAACTTAATTGCTTATTTTTAATTTGTTTTACGTGCAGAATGGTGATGGAGTTTTGTTTCTACAGGTCGATTCTGCTATACCGTTTAGTTGCATCACAACACCGGAGGTTGTGTCCAGTTGCAACACGACATCCTCCACTTCCCAGACGGCAGTCGCTGTTGATCCCAAGGTTTGTACTTACTTTATTTTTATGTTCTGTGGCTGTTTTCAATTTACACAAAAATTTCGCCAGTGTGAGAGAGATTGCTCGGTAGTTATTTAGACAAAGATTTAATAAAGGTTTTTACTTATTTCATAGGAGAAGCTTAAACAATCTTTTTAAGTGTTGACAGGCACCATTACACATCATTTACATATTTAAAAAATGTGTGAATGAATCGTTTGATAATGATGGATTGTTGTGTAACACTCGTAAGTGTGTAAGCCATTTATTTGCCTATAAATTAGGCATATTGGTTATCGTTTTTTTATTAAAGTTTCATTATCTGGTGCGTCACTCTTTTGTCGTTGACTTTAATATCCTCATTTTGACTACCTAATCATAAATGAACTTCTAAACATTTACCTTCTGAGTTGAATTGGACTTCTTTCTCACGCTTAAAATGATATATATTATTTTTATATAAATCTCGAATAGAAGACGGTAACTGTTTTTAATTTTAGTTTCATTATTTTTTATCCTATTATTGATTTCCAAACAAAAAAGGATCCTTCGCGAACACGATAGCAAAGTGAGGCTGCCGTTTTAAGTAATATTATTAAGTACCCGTTATTTATTGGAGGGATCTTGGAATTCTTTGGACACATAGCTATAGGTAGACCGCTTAACTGAGTCCTCGCCTGCAGGGTACAGGGTGTGAAGGAGGACAACGCGGAAGAATCCCTAAACGGGGATCCCGCGGCTTCGCACTAAGCAGCTTGGAGGGTATTCGCAGGGTTTTTAGCGGATAATCAGCCGTAAAGCGCCCGTAAAAGTTACGGGGTCCTCAGTGGGCAGCCACTGCGGGGGCCCGTAAAGCTCGCGGGAGCCAAGTGTGAGGTCCGTTGGCGGTGTGCCTCTTAAAGGCGCCGTCGTCTGTAAACAGAGGTTTTGTCCGCGTCCGTCCTCCCCCGCACCCTTTACTATAGGAAAGATAGACATAACCTTGAGCTGCTTATGGTAACCGGAAAAGTCTATAACAAAAGACCGGCAGGCCTCTTCCTAACTAGGTGATTTGACCAGCTTCGCTTAACTTTGACCGCTAAAGACAGATACAGGTGGAGGGACTTTGTCAAGAGAGTACGACAAGAGGAGGAGGAAAATTATTATTGTAAAGTGATATTTTTGAAGTGTCATCCTATTCACCCATTAGCTGCCGATACTTTCTAAAGCAAAAAAAACCCAATCTATGTACAGGACAAAAAAAACCTGGTCACCGGTATGGTTTTCAAAAGCGAAATTATACTATCTAATATATAAAATGTAATCTATTTTTCATCCCCCTAAATGTTAGGGTAATCCACCCCTAAATTTGTTTTTTTTTTTAATTTTAGATATATATTTTTTTTTATTTTTTTATGATACAGCATTAGTAAATACATATAACCCTGAATTTTCAACCCTTTACAATCAACCCCTATTTTACCATCGCGATTTTTATTTTTAATAATTTCTTTTTTTTCTCAATTCAATTTGATCTTCCGCCTTCACCGGTCGATAACCGATCAACGATCAATCGATCAGTTATCCCCGCTAGATGTCTACCTGGGTCACCTCTCATCCAGCAAAAATCACGGAGTAGGGATGAGAAGGAAGCCGGTCTCCTGTCTTCCTCAATATACAGTTTTCGGCCATTTTTTTGGTTTCATTTGTGTATCGATCGTAGCAGTGACTTATACGTATTATTTTAATTTTTCTGTGCATCTATTACGTTAATTTTACTCTCATCGTGAAATTATTATTAATTTCCAGTGCAATAATTATTTTTTCACATTTTATTAATAACTGATAAAGACAGTTTTAACTATTAGCCGAAACGGCTCGACTGATTTTCGTGAAATTTTATATGCATATTCAGTAGGTCTGAGAATCGGACACCATCTATTTTTCATCCCCCTAAATGTTAAGGGTGGTCCACACTTAAACAATTTTTTTTGGACCATCATCATACAAAAATACATACAACCGTAAATTTTCACCCTTCTACCACCAACCCCTATTTTTTATTCCGGTACGAAGTTCGCTGGGACAGCTATATAGTAGGTATTTCTATAGATATTCAATATACGGATGGAGACATTGTTATGCTCCATACCTATATAAATAATTATAAAAAGTGGCTTCACGCTTTCTCATTTCAGAACCAATACAATATTAAAAAAAAAAAGAACAAGCGCAAGACACAATAGAACGTGACGTAAGCAGTATTCGAAAATTTTAAAAAATCGAAAATTGAATGCCCGTAGAATGAAAACCGAGGTTCCCTAAGCGATGCGTGTGGAACTGAATTTTCTTTCATTGAATTTACGTCCTTCAAATTTGTTTGTGTAGCTTTTGTAAAATTGATTTTTCATTATATAGTGAAAAGCTCTTCCACTATTTCCTTTTGTTTATTTGTTGTTAATTTTTCTTTGTATTCTAGATATAAATGCTGATTCATTATATTTACATAGTATTTAATACACCCGTGTGAAACCGGGACGGGCCGCTAGTATATTTATAAAAAAAGTACACAGACTGGTCACGAAAATGTAAATGGTGTGTGGTGTGATAGGCCTTGATGTTAGTTACATTTTATTAAAAATATTTACTTACTACGTAGGACGTACATACTTGCTTGTTTTTTTAGGTTTCGGGGAAATGTTTGTATATTGTGTTGATTATATAATTCGTGATTGCATTGATTTCCAGAATCGCTTGTGTATTTGAGGGTGTTTTTTGTTTGGACAGCCTCGTAGCGTGATCTCAAGCAGCTTCAACGGGCTGTCCCTCTCGCGGCCCAACTACGGCTCCACGGCGTCCACGGCTCCCGACGAGTACAAGGTACGCCGCCCAAGCTCCACTATCACTCACACTATAGCGTGCATGGCACTATCGTTTTACTCGGCTGCGATGCTCTCCCGCTAAATTTACATTCGATGTTCGATGTTTTTTCTAATGCGTGTTGTTTTTCCTCCCTATTCAGGTGCCTATATTCACTGTGCACTACCGTTTACAGAAATCTCTAGATGAAAATGGCAATGCAGTACAAGGATTCAGTTCACCCATCTCGGGGTCTAGTCAGCACAAGAAGCCCAGACGGAAAAAGTCTTCCAAGAACGAAACTGTGATCACGTCGCACCAGATCGACGGCTACCAAGGCAACAAGGACATCAACGAGGTTCTGCGTTTCATCGAGTCGAACGCGGAACACGGTCGCGGCGCCAAGCTCGGCCGCGCCAAACACAAGGACGACTCCGACGATAAAAGTGGCAAGAAACGCTCCTCTGAGCGCCGCAAGGACAAAGAGAGCAAGGTGAAGCGCGCCTCCTCGCTCGAGGAGCTCTCGCGCACCAAGCTCGAGGATCTGACGGACGCGCGCGAGCCGCCGCGGCGCCACGACCGCAAGCCGCGCCCCGACAACAAGGCCGAGCGCCGCTCCTGGGGTGACGACGCGCGCGACTCCTTCTACTACCCCGCCCCAGCCAGCGCGCCCGAGCCCGACGCCGAGCGCGAGCCCGACCACGACCACGAGCCCGACCCTGAGCCCGAGCCGCCCGCCCTCGTCGACGTCGCGCCCGAGCCCGCCACCGAGCTCACCGACTTCCAGACCGTCACCAAGCGGCGGAAGCCGCGCCGCCGCGCCGACGACACCGAGCGGGAGCCGCCCCGCCGCCCGCGGCCGCCGAGCCCGCGCGCGCGCCGCGAGTCCGCGCCGCCCTCCGACCGCAGCAACGACTCCAACGACGACCTCGACTCGGTGCATTCGCTGCCGCCGCCCCCTCCGCCGCCGCCGCCCGCGCCCCACGCCTCGTACGCGGACATTGCGCGGACCCGGCACAACATCCCCGACCTCATCGAGTCGTGCAACTTCTACGCGGAGGGCGAGAGCGCGACCGTGCGGCGCGCGGTGGATGCGCCCGCCACCGCCGGCGACGCGGACGGGTACCCGGCGCTGGGCGGCGGCGGCGGCGGGGGCGGAGCGGGATGCGGGCGAGGCGCGCGCGGCAAGCCAGCGGCTCGGCGCGAGCGCAAGGAGCGCGCGCCCGCCGCCCCGCCCGCGCCCGACTGCCCCGCTCCCGACGTGCTGGGCGACCGCCGCCCCGCCGTCATCCTGCTAGACTCGGCGGCGCGGCCGCGCGACATGGACGGCGTCACGTTCGGGTTCGACATCAACGAGCAGCTGCTGGGCGCCGGCGCGCGTCGCCCGCGCTGCGACCTGGTGCGCGACGCACTGGACGCGGGCGCCGCCGCCGCCGCCAGTACTGCGACCGAGGGGGAGGCGGAGGCGGTGACGGAGAGTGTGACGGCGGGCTCGGCTCGCGTGGGTGTGGCGGTGGCGGTGGTGGCGGGCTGCACGGCGCTGCGGTACGTGCCGCCCGACCCGCCGCCCGACACGCACCACCTGCACCAGATCATCGACTATGTCGGCAATGGTTAGTACACGCTGTTTACAATATTTACTTACGGACCTATTTTAGTTGTTCAGGTATAAAAAATAGCCCACAATGTTGTTCGATTTTATTTTCACGTCATAATATATATTTACAATTAGGTTTTTTATCCTTTGCTATTAATTTCTGACCGTCAAAAACTCATGCTCTCTTTATAATTTTTTTGATGTTCAGATACCTGAAATCATCCCCAACTGCGTTCGTAGAAAAAAAAACTAGATGCTGACCGACGGAACTCGCATTATATCTCAACGTAGACTAATTGCAGGAACAACAAAAATTTACAGAGGGTTCCAAGTTTAAATAAAGTCAAACGAATATCAACTAAAAATAAAAAACAGCAAGATAACGAATTCAAACTTTTATATAAACTATTACAATACAATAAAAATTATTTCAAAATTCAGTTCGAAGGACGGAATAAACGAAACACGGGTTCTTTTAAGGTAAAAGTCCGAGATCAGCTGCAGACCGCAAACTGCAAGCGACGTCACTGGTTTCTATGAATCTCTATGAAATTGATTCCGAACTCGGCAATACTGCAGCAGCGCAAACTGCAGCGCTATTGGTGTCGCGAACCGCAAAGAGTTCATATGTTCTAAACAAAAAATCAACGAACCGTCCAGTCCTTTATTTATTTTATTTGTTATGAAAACATTAATAATATAAAACATAATTTATACATAATGTTGTGCAAAAACAGTTACAGGCATACTCAACTCTTATTTCTGGAAAAATTAGTGACGAAAACTAAACTAGGTATACAATATAACTTTTTTAAGACTCATCTAATCCAAATTACCGCAATAATTTGGTTCTATGCATTGTGTAGTCGTGGCATGCGGCCATGCTTGGAAAAGCAACCACGACCGCAGTTGTACTAGCCACAGTGTCGCCTGTGGCTGCAGTTGCCCATCACAGACCTTGTACCTTTTGGTAGTACATAATTTTATAAGATCTTCGGTCGTATCAGCCCATAAGCGGTTCGCCCCACGAGGCGAATTGCTAACTCTAGTACTCTATTGGAATTAGTAAAAAATTACATAAATAGATTTATCCTTGACATAAATAAAATTCAACTTTTCGTAAAGTTAAGTAAATTTGTGTTTTCTATTGTATTTTTCGCACACTATTACTGCCAGGAGGTGTGAGATGCAAAGAGGTATAAGAATAGACTGGGGAAGGCGGCTCTAAAAGTGTCCGTCTAGACACTTCAAGTCTTATCTCTTCTTTCTTGTGACGCATGCGCAGTCGTCTGTCCAATAGTTGGTCCAAGCATCACATCGAAATAGTAAGATACTTACGGTTGGTTGCCAATGCGCGTGCGCGATTAGAGAGAGAAAGCTAGCGGTCTCTCATCTTATTTCTCTTTCTATTAGAGGGACACTTCTACTTGTAGTAGATTCTATATCTCCCCTATTCTATTCTTATACCTCTATGATGAGATGTCGTCAATTGAAATGCATCAGAATTTTCACAATCAAGTGTTACCTTAATTTATTAAACTGACGTTCTCGCATGGCTTTCAGCGTGGGAGGATGTCGTCCGTTGCGGGGCCGGCAAGATTCGCTACTTCAGCGAGTAGAGGAGACTCGCCAGAGACGTCCAGTGTAACAAACATACGACTTCTTCTACGCGAGTGCGTGTTTTAACTGTGTCCAAGTGTTCAGTGACAGTGTGACAACCAACCCTAGCGGGAAACGGGATCCGTGCGCATACAACCAAACCAATAAGGCGCTGCGCCGGCGCCTCAACGAAGTCTGAGATTACACGATCTAACTTAGTGGTTTCGCTGTGATTAAAAGTAATTTTGTTTTTAACGCTTTACGAATGAATATTATAGGTGACGTGAACGAACTACCTAAGCATTTAATATGTAAACTTGCGCTTAAAAAACTTAAATGAAAAAATTCAATAAAAAATCGTTATTTAGTCATTGTGGAGTAATGTTTTGTTTTTTTATATTGCGGCCTGACACTGATGTATGTAATTGCGAAAGCTTATAAGTTAAAATTTGTGTTTGTATTTAAATTGCCTACATTTGAATTATTGAACGTCAGTGAGGATTGTGTGAGTGGCGGCGAGTTCGGTCGTGTCAGGCTCGCGGCACGTTTTGTTCCGAATCCAAGAAGGCATGTAATTATTTGTTTCTGTTGATGTTTATCATGCTTGAATTTTGTTATATAATCACAAATATTTGGTAAATCTTCTGTAACTAGCTACATACCTATTTTGTTATGTATTTTTAAGTTTTACCAGATTGTAATTGTAAATATAAAGATCTTTAAGGTTTAACTGGCCATATGTTCATATGGAACGTTGTCATCTCATTTCGTCATGTCCTCATATTTTTGTAGTGATTAAAGTTTCGTCTACTTATTGTAATAAATTAAAATCTTGATGTCCATAGTGTTTAAAAGTAAGTAAATTGTATAAATTACTCATTTTAAAGAGACATATTTTATCACAGAACAAAACAATTTTATTTCATTGGTGTTAATTAATTAAGAGAATTATGCTATGTTTAAAAATTACACTATAGCTAATAATAAAAAAGCATAAAAATTATTTGTTAATAAACAAAAAAAATATAAAAATAAATAATTTTAAAGTGAGAACTTGACCAAATGGGGTGGAATGTTTGAAGCTAATACAAATGAATAATCCTAATATTAATTAAGTATAGTGTGTAAATATAAAAATTCAAGCAAATTAAGGGAGTAACAATATCAGTTTGTGCCTTCAGCAGTTTTTCATCAAAGTAAGAATTTCAGAGTGTACTGATCATCCATTACAAACTCTTTCACTCTGGAAAACCAAGCTTCTTTAACATAGAAAAGGGACTGAAAGAGAGTTATAGAGATTGCGCATAGATGTAGTTACTCCCTTTCTGATTGCGGAGGATGTTACACATTGTAAAATAAATCTGAGAGGCCCGAGAGGCCATACGACCACACGTGAACTATGAGTGTCGTACAAACAGCCACACTTCAAGTTGCCATCAACTATCAAATTTTCTCAATATTTTGTAAGCAATTTAGAGCTCAAAGTCAATTGGAGAAATTTGTCATTTTGGGCAACTTGATCTGTGGCTGTCCGTACTTAAACCGCACGTCGTGTGTCTCAAAACATACGCTAATACCCGCGAGCTGCATTCACGCAAGTTTCATGTAGTTCGTAATCCTTCTTTGGCACTATGTATAAGAGAATCATAGGTGGAGCATAAACGACTTTTTATCGATGTTCATGTCATTCACATGAATCAATAAGACACTGAGAAATATGTGGAGTCAAAACTTGAAAATATTACTTACATAATTGCTTTCTAGATTTAAGTATATCTTTATTGCACAATGAAAATATACCTGTTTTAGTTTTCAATAAAATGACCACATTTTAAACGGTATGGCTACCTCATAGAACAGTGGCTCCATCTATGCTTAGTTCTGTCTCAATCTCATAACACTGTCCAAATGTTCAATTTTAAAAACTAATTGTCTCAATGTTGTATATTATAAAATATTTGATGTTGATGGACATAATGCTAGTCGTGTTTGAATGGTATAATAAAAAGGAAAATTATCTGCTTTGACAAATACAGAGTAATGATATTTTTTTGTTGTTAATGGTTCATTCATTCTATATACGCCAATCATAAAATTAATAGTTGTGGTCTATTTGTGTGATTTTGATTGTCGAAACATTACCAACTGTACAGTGTGGTAAATACTGACAGTAAATTTCTAGAATATCTGAAGTGATTTAAGTTTGAAAAAATATTAATTTTTCTTTTAAAATTGCATTGCACCGAAAATCCTATTATATGAAGTATATAATTTGATGGTCACTATGTTTTATTTGCATTTATAAATGTGACAGTTTTAATTCACTAAAATGTAAGTACAGGACCACAGCTGATATTGTAAATATAATAATGTACATTTATTTCATTTTGAAAGAGATGTCTTACAATTTTACATTGTCGTGATTGATGTAATTATACTGGAAGGACGCTCATATCAAAGGTATAGAAATATTATTTATTATTATTTCTTTCCCTTGTAAAATATGTAAATAGATGTTCAGAAAATTGTTTTTCGGTTTTATCATTTTTAGTGCGTATTAGATGTTGTAGATGGAAGATCTCTGGGTTTTGATGTTGCGACAATATCTGTACGAATGCTAGCCTACTCTACTATCTGTAAGAATGTCTGTTTCTTTGTTATCTACTATTGAAAGGGAGCTATTCAACATGGTTTGCGCATTAAAATTTAATAACTTCAATACAATCTTTTCAAATACTATTATTTTAGTTCACATTTATTAACAGTTGCATTAGTCATACTTCACTTTATTCAAGTAAACAGTGACATAATAATTCTGTTGAACATTTATGCTCTGAAAACAGATAATTGAATTAGGTCTCAGTAAATTTTGATTTTCAAAGCTAGTGCCAAATAACAAGCGACATCTACAAGCTCTATGTAAAGTTTGCACTAATACCTAATATTTTCTGAAGGGCAATATATACCTAAGAAGATTAACTAATTCCTAAAGAACGCCCTAATTATGTGCAAAAACCTATCGTAGTCTTCATATATTTATATTCTAGCAAAAAAGCGTGAGATCTTATTACATATACTATACTTATAAAACTACAAAATGTGGATGAGCTAAAATTCTCTCTTAATATATCTAAGTAATATTGTCCAAAAGAGGATGCTGTTTAGAAAAATGGTTGGGCAAAGGCGAAGTGTAAATGTATAAATAAAATTAATGCTGAATTATAAGGCTGATTGTCTCATTGTCTGAGTAAGTTTTACTCCTGGATCACATTCAGAGAACAATCACTGTCTATTAGATGTCTCTGATATTGTAACAAATGTGTGATCTTTTGTTTTTATTGATCTACATACTATTTGCCAACAATGTTTTTATGTATAAAAAAACTGCCATGAGTTATGTTCGTATTTTATCTTTCTTACTAAACAAAAAAGTATGTGATGGGTTCGAGCATAGATTCCATAAAATGTAAATTATATTTATAAAGATCGTCTATTTTTTGAAGTCAAGATTATCATCAAGTCATGTTACCTGCTTAAGTTTTGGACTGCACTTAAATAAGTGTTGATGGGATCATGATTGTGTCGTTATATATAGAGTTGCTTTTTCATTTCATATTTTATTCAGAAAATGAGATAATTGCTCTGTATCTTATAATATTTATATTAATATGGAAAATTATTTATCTGCTTTATATCTAACTAAACCTTACTATAATTTTACTTTTTCTTATTCTATTTGTACTCTAATATAAAATTCATATTGGTCACAAATCTTTTTTATATAATTTTCTAACTTTAATTGCATTATTTAAAAAAATATTTTACCTTACGAAACATTCAATATCAATCCTAATATTAATCAATGAATAAGGTAAAAGTAAAATTGAAGTAATATTTTAACTGTAAAAGATTTTGTTTTATATAAACATTATTATAACCAACTGCAATTTACAGTTATGTACTTTTTCACTGTTTCCGTTTTCTTAATAAAATGTTGAAAATATTATGTTCTTTTATTTATTTTTTACAACTAGATGTGATGGAAAAGTTTCAATAATAGGCAACGTAATAAATACCCTAGATACACCACAAGCGCTCAAAATGTGTCCCAATCAAGAAGTGCTTGAACTCCACTCAAGCACTTCTTGATTCCCAGTCTCACGCGGACCATTACCAAGTCAAGATGCCCGAGAGCTCCGTGAAAAAATACTTATAGTACGAAGTGTCGTTTTCTCGACAGGTTTAACGCATTTATTTTACACAAATTTATTTAACGCATTTGAAGCAAATTTTGTTCTAATACTTACTAAAAACTGATTTAATATAATTTTTTGTGATATTCAAATGCATGGTCCGTTATACGTCGCCGTATTGTTGTCTTTTTTGTCGAGGTGCGTACCTGCTATATTGCTAACAGCACATTCAGTATTGCGCGTAGAGTCAAAAGAATAAGGTCTATATTCTTCCGCATATAGCAAGCAAAAAGTCGTAAAATTTTACGAGCTTGCATTTCGAACTGTCAGAAATCTTTGGCGCATGCGTTTTAATTAAAACCTTCTACAGTATGCATTAAAGATTACTTTCAATGTTTAAATAATGCCTTATATGGTTTTTGACCAAGCGATCATCTTAAGGGCCTACCACACGCACGAGCTTTACCACAGTTTTGCCTGCGCAGGCCGGTTTGTATACGGAACACGGTGCGTGTAGTTGGTAAAACTGTATCTCGCGCCAACCCCACAGCGCAGCCTGCGGACTTTTCGACTTACTTGAAATTTTGCCTGCGCAAGCCCGGTCTGCGCGTACTTGTCTATGCGTGTGGTTGGGCGTTCAGTGTTCAAGCCACAGTCGTCGTACAGTCGAGTGTACTTTGTGTCGAAGCTCGCTCGTCGTTTCATGAGGTCGTTCGTCATCGTCACTCAAAAATGGCAGATTTGCGTACATACAATCGCGAATTCACGTCTGAATTAATTAGTTTATACAATTCACTGCCTGCACTCTGGAAAATAAAATCTAAAGATTGTTCCGACCGAAATAAAAAGAACGACGCCTACGAAAGAATGATAAATAAAATGAAAGAGGAAATAAAATGAAGATAAAATCTCTTAAATCCTTGATTAGATTCATATGTGTATGAATTTTTCTATTCAACAGGCATTTTTTTGTCCACTTTGATCGCTTTAATTTTGACTTTTGCGTTGTTTTTTTTTTAATAGCAACCACTTGAAAAATAGTAGCATGAGAATGTTTCTTCATTAGGAAATATTGTTTCCACGCCAATGATTTCGATAAGAATGAGGCTTGCGCGTACTTAACTGTGCCGTGTGGTAACGCACAAAGTGTACAGTTTTTTCGTGCGAGATGCTTGCGCAGGCCAAACTGTGGTGAAGCTTGTGCGTGTGGTAAGCGCATTACGGAGCTCCGTGGATCGTACAATGTACCTTTTGGACACGTTTCGTTCACGATTTTGTTTGTGTTGTTGTATCTAGAGTACTTAATATCTTTGATAATAGGTCGTTACCTATGAAGTTTCCGTTCTGCCGTACTGGGTATTTCAAGTCAATTTTTTTCTTTTTTCGCCAGGAATTCTAAGTGAAAAGAAAGAATTTATTTTAAGTTTCAAAATATAGAATCTTTTTTTTGAAAATTTCAGCGCATTTGTTCGTTTTTCGTCCTCATAGATACGTTAAAAATTCAAGTGATTTGGGGTATGTGTACCGTTGTGGCAGCAAAGCGGCTCACAACATCTACGACTTATACGGAGCGAACACTACTAACCATCGCACCAACCGTTATTGGTTTGCGCGATACCGTTCTGGAAATTTCGCCCTAAGAAATGAACCCCCTGATCGACCAAACTTCTTCTGTATAGAGAATGACAAGGATACAATAATGGTATCGATTCTGACATGATTCTTTAATTATAATTTTTATTATTTTTAAAGCATGTAACTGCTTGATGTTTAAATGTAAAGAAAATATAACTAGAAAAAATTCCACGCGAATAGCTAGAAAGAATTTCGACGCGGTCCGTGAGGGCCGCGGTAGCATAATTGGTCAGTGCATTCGCCCGGATTGCGAAGGGTGCGGGTTCGAGTCCCGTCTGCTGCCTGGTCCGCGTGGAATTTTTTCTAGTTATATTTTCTTTAGATTTAAACATCAAGCAGTTACATGCTTTAAAAATAATAAAAATTATAACTATAATTGCTATTTCTTCTTTCAAATGTTTAATACTTGTAAAAGTATTCATTTGACATTGTGGGTTTACCTATAATGCGAAGAGATGGCGCTGCCTTGCAGCTTAAGAATAGCTAGAAAGAATTTCGACGCGGTCCGTGAGGGCCGCGGTAGCATAATTGGTCAGTGCATTCGCCCGGATTGCGAAAGGTGCGGGTTCGAGTCCCGTCTGCTGCCTGGTCCGCGTGGAATTTTTTCTAGTTATATTTTCTTTAGATTTAAACATCAAGCAGTTACATGCTTTAAAAATAATAAAAATTATAACTATAATTGCTATTTCTTCTTTCAAATGTTTAATACTAGTAAAAGTATTCATTTGACATTGTGGGTTTACCTATAATGCGAAGAGATGGCGCTGCCTTGCAGCTTAAGAATAGCTAGAAAGAATTTCGACGCGGTCCGTGAGGGCCGCGGTAGCATAATTGGTCAGTGCATTCGCCCGGATTGCGAAGGGTGCGGGTTCGAGTCCCGTCTGCTGCCTGGTCCGCGTGGAATTTTTTCTAGTTATATTTTCTTTAGATTTAAACATCAAGCAGTTACATGCTTTAAAAATAATAAAAATTATAACTATAATTGCTATTTCTTCTTTCAAATGTTTAATACTTGTAAAAGTATTCATTTGACATTGTGGGTTTACCTATAATGCGAAGAGATGGCGCTGCCTTGCAGCTTAAGAATAGCTAGAAAGAATTTCGACGCGGTCCGTGAGGGCCGCGGTAGCATAATTGGTCAGTGCATTCGCCCGGATTGCGAAGGGTGCGGGTTCGAGTCCCGTCTGCTGCCTGGTCCGCGTGGAATTTTTTCTAGTTATATTTTCTTTAGATTTAAACATCAAGCAGTTACATGCTTTAAAAATAATAAAAATTATAACTATAATTGCTATTTCTTCTTTCAAATGTTTAATACTTGTAAAAAGTATTCATTTGACATTGTGGGTTTACCTATAATGCGAAGAGATGGCGCTGCCTTGCAGCTTAAGAATAGCTAGAAAGAATTTCGACGCGGTCCGTGAGGGCCGCGGTAGCATAATTGGTCAGTGCATTCGCCCGGATTGCGAAGGGTGCGGGTTCGAGTCCCGTCTGCTGCCTGGTCCGCGTGGAATTTTTTCTAGTTATATTTTCTTTATGATTCTTTAAACCTAAACTTAAATTTGACAAAAGTGCATCCTTGTCTTTCATAATACAGAATGAAAATGAAAGACTGATGTTAAACGAGAATCACGCCAGAATCGGCACCACTGTTGTCAAATTTAAGTTTAGATTTAGAGAATCATCCCGGAATCGACATCAACGACGAATTAAAGGCGATTGTAGAAGCTGAAGCTTCTGTAATTGACGTAACAGAAACCTCTGGCCGGACCACAAAATCCCGCATAGCCGAACCGTGGCGGCGCATATCCACACCCGGGCTCACATGGCCTAGGGACACTAAATATCCCCTAAAACGTTGTACCACACACCCTTGGGCAGGAGTCGTGTGCGTTATTTGGCATTTCCCGCCAAAGCCCCAAACATTACAATGAGTGCTGATAAAGAGATTACAGTACCCCAGGAGGGTATCGCGACTAGCGAGGAATCCCTCACCAAGCCTAGCTTGGTCTGTCCCGCGTATTCTGGGGGGGACAACCAGCGCTCAGGGAAGGGCACAAGCCTGGACCTGTCTGGCCTAGCTGAGGCCATAACTTCAGCTACAACAAGCTCAACAAGCAACACAACACCCACACTTACACAGTGGACTGTGATCGCCCATAAGCGCCCCTGCAAAGGGAAGTCTGCTAATGTGGCGGCCACCCACAAACACGCAAACAAAGGTTCGCAGGGCCGAACAGAACGCAGTCGCCCCAACAGGCGCGCGAGAAGGGAAGCTCTGCAGCCCAAAACCAAAACAGACAGCACACAGTCGGTCACCGCTGCAGTGGAAACACAGCGCGAGCCTGTAGAAATACAGGGGGCCGACAAAACAAACACACACAAACAACCACGACGGAGACCGAAACCGAGGGGTGATCGTGGTCGGCGGATCGCTGCGGAGGCTCCCACTGCTCCTGAAAAGGAGCAGCCTGGGACTGCGTGTGGATCGGGCGAGGCAGCTTCTACGAAGCGGCCACGCCTGGACGACACGCAGTCTCCAAGGGGGGATGCCAAACGCGCGAAAACCGACGCGAAGACGAAGCGGACGGTGAGCTACGCAGATGCGAGTAAATCGCATCTGAGAGTAGCGGTCACCACCGTCCCGCCGAGGGACCTCTCGGCTGAGCAGGCGGAACAGCTGAAGGAGACCATCGACGATGGGATCCTGCAGGCAGTTCTGGCTCCGCAGTCTCCAGATGCGCAGGCTCCAGCTTTCCGCGGGCGACCCTTCCTTTCGGACGGGGTGCTAGCGATGTGGTGTGAGGATGAGAACGCACTCAAGTGGCTTGAACAAATGGTGAAAACCATCCCGTCACCCATACCGAACACCACATTGACGGTCATTAGGCTGTCGGATGTGAAGAAGAAACTCAGAGCTGGGCTTCTTCTCCACACCCGCATCACTGAGTCTGCCACACTGCAGAAACTCCTTTGTGCCCAGAACCCCTGGTACAAGGTCGAGTCCTGGCAGTGCTACGACATGACCGTGGATGACAAACCGGACAGCAGCTCTAAGGAGAAGGTGGTCCACCTGATCCTTGGAATCCCCGAAGACCAAAAACCAGCAATACTGGACAGGGAACGCCGTGTTGCACACATGTCTGGCAGCGGATATATCCGCTTTTTCGCGACAGACGAAGCAACAGTGGTTGACCCGACAGTAGCAACACCGAGTGCTACTACAGAGCAGGAAGGCGCTGCGATCCCGACACCCACCACCTCAGCTCCCCAACGGGGTCCGAGCGCGATTTAAGAGGAAGCAGACCTGAGCTCTGAGGACAGCGTTAGCGACGAAGATGGCGTCCTTCGCAGTCCCTAGTAGCACCATCACTATAATCCAGACCAATCTCCAGCACAAGCAGATAGCGGCGGCCACACTACGCAGAGTGCTGGAGACAAACAACATGACGGTCGCCCTGATTCAGGAACCCTGGATCAGAAATAATAGGATCTGCGGTCTGAACAACATCGGTGGTAAGTTACTTTTAAACACATCTGTCGATAAACCAAGGACATGTATTTTTACACCCAAGTCTATAAAAACAACCATGCTTAACCAATTCTGTTCTAGAGACCTCACAGCTGTGACGATCCCCACAGATAACCAAACAGTCCTGGTACTAGCTTCAGTCTACATGCCGAATGAGGGGGAAATTCCTCCGAGGGAGCTGACCGAGCTGGTACGACACTGCGAGGACCACAAATGGGAGCTGATTGTAGCGGCAGACTGCAACGCACATCACTCACTGTGAGGAAGTAAGGACACAAACAAAAGGGGTGAGTTATTAACTGAATACTTATTCCAAACCAACCTTAACATCATGAACATTGGGGCGGAGCCCACATTTGTTAGCTCTAGGTACCAAACTATCATAGATATAACACTAGCGACACACGCGGTGGCCAATCTAATCGAAGGATGGCACGTGTCAAACGAACCCTCCTTTGCAGACCACCGCAGGATATGTTTCCAAGTACAATACAGACAAACAGACCCTGTTCCATATCGCAACCCCCGAAAAACAGATATAGCAAGGTACGTAGAACTAATAAATAAAACACTAAGCGAGATGCAAATACACGATGAAATCCCTGACATAAACAACATAGAAACAAACGTACAGTTCTTCACTTCAGCGCTTCTTAAAAGCTACGAACTGACGTGTCCTACCATCGTACCGAAAGGCCTGGGTAAAAGTTCCTGGTGGGGGCCAGAACTTGAGAAACTACGTAAGGAACTCAGGACACTTTTCAATCGAGCGAAAAACACCAGAACCAATGAGGACTGGGACAGATATAAAATAGCACAAAAACACTACAAGAAGCGGATCAGATTCCGGAGTAGAGAAGGATGGCGCGGTTTCTGTAGTAGTGTCAATTCAACAAATCAAGCTGCCAGACTCAAGAAAGTTCTGTCCAAGGACAACTCCAACCTCCTTGGATCTCTGAAAAGGGAAGACGGCACTTATACAAAAACAGAAGAAGAAGCCAATGCGGTGCTACTGGAAACCCACTTCCCAGGATGCCAACTGGCGCCAGGCCTGGAGTGGACGACTGAGCACCACAATGCACCAACAACCCAGGAATGGGACCTGGCAAAAACAATAGTAACGGCGGAAAAGATAGAATGGGCTCTAAAAAGCTTTCAACCATTTAAGTCAGCGGGACTAGATGGTATATTCCCGGTGCTACTACAATGGCAACTAGGTCAGGCAATTAGATACCTACAACCTATCTTTAGGGCCTGCCTGGCCTTCAAGTACATACCAAAACCATGGAGGGAGGCAAAAGTAGTCTTCTTACCGAAACCAGGCAAGGACGACTACACACAAGCCAAATCCTTCAGACCAATAAGCCTAACCTCTTTTCTCTTAAAAACATTGGAAAGACTGGTAGACCGACACCTTAGGGATGGAGCACTAAGTAAGGCTCCGCTGCACCCTCAACAACATGCCTACAGGAAAGGCAGATCAACAGAGTCGGCACTGCATTCAGTAGTCCACAAAATAGAGTCGGCAATCACAAATAAAATCTCAACACTGGCAGCCTTCATAGACATAGAAGGTGCGTTTGACAAAACGATGCACTAATGCATGCATTAACCACGCCCTAAGAAAACTCAAGGTGGACCAAGTCACCAGAGGTTGGATCACCGAACTGGTTGGCAAAAGGGCGGTTCAGATAGTGGGGAACGCTACCACGCGTGCGAAGGTAGTCAGAGGATGCCCACAAGGGGCAGTCCTATCACCACTTCTCTGGAACATAGTAGTGGACAGTCTCATATGGAGTATGAATGACAGAGGATACACTACTATTGGTTATGCGGACGACCTAACAATTCTGATAAATGGGAACGCTGAAAATGTCCTTTGCAAGGTTATGCGTTCAGCCCTTCAGATTGTGGAGAAATGGTGTGACGAACATCACTTGTCAGTAAACCCGAACAAGACAGAGCTAGTCCTTTTCACCAACAAAAGGAAGCTACCTGAACGACAGTTACCAAAACTGTTTAATACCAAACTCTCCCTATCAACACAAGTGAAATATCTGGGCGTAATCCTTGATAACAAACTGAATTGGGCGAGTCATATTGATTTAAAAACAAAGAAGGCCTGCATAGCTTTTAATCAGTGTAGAAGACTAGTTGGTAAAAAGTGGGGTCTAAGTCCAAAGATCACCCTTTGGTTATACACAGCAGTCATCAGGCCCTCTATAACCTATGGTTCAGTTGTTTGGTGGCCCAGGACCCAACTGACCACAGTGAAATCCAAACTCCAAAGTCTACAACGCTTGGCGAGCGTAGCAGCAACTGGATGCATGAGAACAACTCCATCGGCTGCATTAGAGTACCTCATGAATTTAAGACCATTGGACCTGGTCATACAAGAAGAGGCGAAAGCAGCAGCCTTGAGACTAAAGTCTCTAGGATTATGGAGATTAAATACTGTAACAACACACACCAATATTCTACAAAAGTGCACGAAGGAGATCCCACTCCTGGAGGCACCTATGGATAGAATATTAAGTCAACACGTCTTTGATCGAAGATACAATATCCAACTTACCGCGGAAAAGGCAGATTACTCCGGCGCCGGGGAAGTTAGGATATACACGGATGGCTCCGAAACCAACAGTGGCACTGGAGCCGGTGTCTTCTCAAACGACCTGAATATTAAAATATCTACAACCTTAGGCAAACAAAGTACAATCTTCCAGGCCGAATGTATTGGCATTACCAGAGCGGCACAGGCGGTTGCAGCCAGAGATATCAGAGAGTATAACATCAAGATCATCTCTGACAGTGCATCCGTGCTTCAAGCCCTACGTAGCAACACAATAAACTCTGTCCTAGTAATGGAGTGCCACACAGTGGCGTAGCATAGGTCACTAGCACCCGGTGCGGATTCCAAATTTGCCGCCCTCTTATTTTTGCAATCCATTATAAAAAAATTGAGGCATGGCAACCTTGCGCTTGCATCACCCATGCATAGAACCTGCATAGGTACCTGGGTATTTGGTAACAACAACAAAAAAATGACGAAAAAAAACTGAAAGAAATTAACTTTTTTTTATATTTTAATTTTTTTTCTCTATCTGCCACCTCCGCAGCGCCGCCCCCGGCAAAGTGCCGCCCGGTGCGGACCGCATCCCCCGCCCCCCCCATGCTACGCCACTGGTGCCACAAGGCACTTCAATCCATTGCGGTTAACAACACGGTAACTCTGCAATGGATAAAAGGACACAGCAGCTCAATTGGAAACGACGCAGCAGACGAACTGGCTAAGAGGGGAGCAGACACAAAGATGTATGGTCCGGAGCCTTTGCTGCCCATACCTCAGGCCCAAATTAAAACGTGGCTGCGTGAAATAACTCATAAATCACACTTGATGGAGTGGAAAACAGGTGAAGGATGCCGGCAAACGAAAAACGCAGTTCCGGCGGTAAATAAAAGTTTTGCCCGCACCCTTACCAGACTAAATAGATCAGAGATAAGAGATCCCTGACTGGTCATTGTCCCCTAAACAAACACCTATATACAATAGGAGTTACAGACACACCCCCTATGCAGAGGATGCATGGAGGCAGAAGAAACGCCACAGCATGTCATCATGGAATGCAGGAGTGTGGCCGACCAACGGGCACGACTTCTCCAGTCACCAGAATCGTTTCCGGAAGCTTGCAGCAGTCTATCAAGGCTGCTTTCCTTCTGGACCGATATAGGCTGGCTGGAGTAAGCGGGAATGTTTATGAGATACGCACAATGGTCCAATAATTAGGACTAAGTGCGGAAACCGCCCTGAAAAACTAAACTAAACTATCCAAAGTGACTGCTAATGGTTCACCCTTTGATCGCCTGTGGCCAACGAGACGTTAAGTATATTAGGAGATCACCAGCCAAACGACTCCAACGGAAACCGTACTTGTCCTCTAGGTACCGCAGGAGCTGGCAGTTGATAATAATGGAGTGCATTATCCTGAGGAACAATACAAATCGAGTGCTGTAAAAACAGAAAATAGCTAAATCCGGCCTTTAGGCGTCTTTGCTAGGTCATATTTTTATGACCTAGCAAAGACGCCTAAAGGCCGATTTACACGTCGATATGTACAATAGCGAGTCTGTTCACTTATACTCCAAACAAGGAATAAACTTAAGACTAGTTACAGTAGTTACGCCGTGTTTTATTCATATCACTCAAATGCCTTATGTCAATCAAAGAACGGAGAAAAAACATGGAGTAACTAATCCAAGGTTATTCTTCGTGTATTAATAAGGGGGTTGGGGGGTTAACTTCTTATCATCGAATATCAAAATATCAAGTAAAGAGAATAGTGATGTTCTATTTTTTGGCAAGTGCAAGTTTGTATGAGCTGACCGCGCGAAATCGAATTTAACCACAGAGAAGACAACCCAACAAGTAAGATGTACTTGTGTGCCATCATACCTCATACCGATACCAGCAATTCGACCTTGTAAATAAACTAGTTTTAGCAATAGGAAACTATATTGTTTTTATACCTATGTATCATATGTGGAAGTAAGTGAGTATGGTTTCATTTAACATACAACCTGTAAATATTTTGGGTCTTTGGAATAAAAAAAAACAAATAATATTCGCGACATTATATTTTCATAATAATCAACATGATACAGATGTTATGGCTTTGTATTCAAATATCATTCTATTATTATTAAAAAATATTAACAAACTATCTTACATCCACTTGAAAATGTACACTTCGTAATAGATCTTACAAAATATTCTAAAGCATTGCAAGTTGACAGCGAAAACAAGTTTAATGATTCAAGTATTTATGATAAATAAATTGTAAGAGCAGTGACAGTCACTCTCATAAGAATCTCGTCATGAGCGAGCTCATTCTTTCGCAGTTAGAAGCATTATTAAGACAAAGTGTTTTAAGGAGGAGATTTTAATGAAACTTTTTTTTTACTGCGATCTATAATCGGAGCCACAGTTGTAGGTAAAATTTAAAATTGTTAGTAGCTTAAAAACGTGGCAATAAAAGCGACAATAGTAATGCGAGTGAATCCTGTTCTGTCCGTGGCGTTGATTGTACAACGCCACTGCTCCGCTGTCAGCTTGCACCAATTTTTAACACTTACAAAAGTAATGCTCTAAAGGCATCAAAGATATTTTCACGACTTGTCATTTCATATTATACGGACGTAAAGTGCTACTTTCAATGTCCACTATAGACATTAATTATGTTGTCAATGACCTAGATAAGTAGCGTTTAGAAGCATAACAAAATTCAAACCTGTTATTCGAAGCACCATCTCCACAAATATATTATTATTAAAACTACCGTCTCTTCAAAAGTGCTTCCGTTCAGACTTGCCGCACCAACATATTGATTGTTGCGTTTGTGAGTTTTCAAATTACTCAAAAGCATTTTACTTATACAGGTGTACGAATCCCTATCGCGCTATGGACAATTTTATCGTTGCATAATATTTCCATTTGGTATTTTTTACATCATTTAAATTCACACCAAGACGCTACAGAAAAAGTTGAAAACTCACACTCGATCCTTAACACAGATTCATACTTTTGTTGTACATGTTATATAGTTTTATTTTTAAAATTTATTACAGATTTACAACAGAATATACCAAACTTTTTGGCTAATTAATAAATAAAAAAATATTTATATTACAGGATAATTACAGAGGGCACCACCAAGCCGCAATAGTCAGTGGTATAAAATCAGCCAAGTTTATATATGTAAGATTGTAAACCCTTTTTATTGGAACCAAAATCAATTGTAGAACCAAATCTCATTTAATATGATTTTGTTCAGTTTCATTTGCTTAATTTAAGAAGAGTCGTGCAGATGTAACTTGGATTTGGCTGATTTTAATTCAAGTACATTTTGATTTCTTTTCCGAATTACATAGACACAAATAGGGTGCCGTAAAACATACTTTAAAAAGTTTGGATTTTGAATAAGAATATTCACAAAACAATATCAACAAATAATGCGACAGTAATAATGATCACCATACTACTAGATCAAATCTCACAAATACTGCAACATAGTCGGTCCAGTGCTAGCCACATCACAGCGGACGTCCCCGCTTCGGCCAGGTTCGATCTATAGTACAAAGAATCCTAGGGAAGCTATAATTTTCGTTTAAAATCTATATAATAATTATATACGCTTATATACACTATAATTTTATCGCCAGTCTTTATCGACGGGAGCAGATCGTGTCGCGCTCTCCGTCGACATTAAAGCACTTCGTTTTCCACTGCACATGACACATCTTGGGGCGGGACATCAGTGGCATGCACCTGCAAGGGGTAACATCTTATATTTATAAGCGCACTGCTATTCAAAAATCGGTGTCGCTATACTGTGTCGGTGGCGACCTCCGTAACACGAGTAGTTAGCGTACGGGTTTAGCCGCACATTGAACTCATAATAAGTAGGTATTACTTTATAATTTATTAATTTCATTGTTTCGTAATAATAAAATATTGAATCTTTAATTAGTGTCTACCCGGTAGCCTTACCAACCGCGCGTACTCACTCTTACCTTTTCACCATACTTTAACTAGTTTTCCTGAGTATTTATAGAATTGGTTGTAGTAGTGTAAATTATCTCAATAAACTCTCAGTAATTGTCTCCAGTGACTTTCTATTTATCAGTCTCTTCTCTAAAAGTGTATAACACGTACAGTACGTAGGTCGGGTTTCAAGCTTTCGTCTACTGTTCGAATCCCGGCGGGGAAGCGGGGCAAATGTTAGTACGATGAATACGAGCATTTATACCTCAATAATGGCACAATTACACTTGGTCGTTTGCCCGTATACGATTGCCAATGGAATTCAGGTAAACGACTAAGTGTAAATGAATGGAGTCGAGTTTACCCGATACCGTTTTACAGCCCGTATTCCAGTGTGAATATGGCTTCGGGTGCCCTAATGCGAGTAATGTCTTTCGTGCACCACCTGCTAAACGTGCCTACCTCTACGTGCTAACAACCGAGTGAAATTGAGCCATAAGTTAAATGAACGGAGTCGAGATTGAGAGTATATTGCTTCGGGTGCCCGAATTATGTCTTTCGTGCACCCGAATACGGGCTAACGAAAAAGTGTAGTTTCGCCATTAGTCATGGATGTTAGAAACAATTATGAGTTTTAGAAATCTAAATGATTTCTAAAACTCATAATTGTTTTTTTTATACGCGACTACTTATACACATATCAGTATAGGTATTCTATCCGTTACTGAAGTATTTCATAACACAAGCCTTAAAGTGTTTAATTTAGGGCTGGGTTAATCGGTGTGTGTTAGAAAATCATAGTGCGGGCGGGACTCACGCGGCGCCGCTAGAAGATGTCGGGGCAGGCGGCCCAGTCCTGGCGCTGCTTGCACTCCCAGTAGCGGTTGTTGTAGAGGTGTCGCAGGCGCGGAGCCCCGGCGGGCGCGGCCTCGCGCGTGAACCACGCGGGCTTGGGGCCGGCGGGCGCGGGCAGACCGCGGGCGGCCGCCGCTTCTGCACTCGCCTGGTGGACATTATATACTAATCAGATAGAGTCTAAGAAGATGAACTATAACTAACTTTTGACCGATGTTTAATATTTTTACTTCTTATATTCTTTTGTTAATTATAACGAATTGGATATGAGGATCTCAATTGTGCAAGTTGTAAACGCGTTCAGCTACAATTGTTGGAGTTAATAAAAAAACAAAACAGTTAATCAAAAATCGCTTGAGAAGACACGTTAAGCTGTTGGTCCCGGCTGGCACCAAGTCGCACTCGACCCGCGTAGGGTAGGTCTGTGCCCCAGCAACGGGGTCATTAATAGGCTGGAAGGATGATGGAAACATTACTATCGAAGAAAGGCTGCCTAAACATTGTTTACATATGCACAGACAGAACAAAATAATTTGACAAATCAAATATCTGCAAATACAAAACTGCCACACGCATACCTCCAGCTCCCTCCTGGCGGCGCGCTGCTTCTCCTCCAGGCGCAGCTTCTCAGCGTTGGCCTCGTCCCAGAGTCCCTCCTCCATGAGCCGCTGGTCGGGGCGTCGCCTCGAGTCAGTCGGCGCGACCCCCGACTCCGGCTCGTTGAGCTGAGCGGCGAGCAGCGTGAAGTTGTACCTAATAAAGAAAACTTCGCTAATGACAAGAACATGATTACCATGTAAAAAAACAGAAATAAATAATAATAAATATTTCCAACACTCACACCAATTACCAATAACCAACCAAAGTAAGCACTGTAAGGCTTGTGTTATGGGATACTAGAGTAACGGATAGAATACATATATTGTAGATATATAAGTATATTTATATAGAAATATATAAAACACATCCATGACTGGGGTACAAATGCTCGTATTCATCACACAAACATCTGCCCCATCAGGATTCGAACCCTGGACCTCTCGAGTCGGCGACACCATGAAACCCAGCGTATAAACCACTCGGCCACGGAAGTCGCCAGAAATAAAGAATGAAGATTTTTGTATTCGTACATTTGAGGAGGAGCTAGATAGTATAGTTTGCGTGTTCGGTTTGAGATCGTAGTAGTAAAGGGACTTTCATAATGGCCGGTCATAGAATGAGTCACCAAAAACTTATTATATTGAGCTCCTCGCCGCTGTCCTAGTGCCCTGGCAGCACGCGGCGCGCCTGTGACGTCACTCACCAGCGGTCCGAGTCCGGGGGCGCGGCCACCCGCTCCCACGCTACGGCGAACTTGCCCGTCTTGCACACGGTGTTGTCTGCGGACGCGGACGTCACCGGCGCCACCTCCACGCGGCTGTCCCAGTGTCCTTGCAGCACGTATCGCGGCTGGTTGCAAGTTAGCATATTATTTCTTACGGCCGTACTTAAGATGTCAGCTAACTCTGAATTAAGTGCTCCCACACAAAACTGCGAATTCGAATCGCATCTCAAATACCTGCGAGCTCGCACGAATACACCGCAAGAACTTCTGATCTAAATCGCATCGCACATTTCTGAGATATTACGTCACACTTGGTGACACCATTTAAGTCCGCTCTGAGATCTTCCTTGTACGATCATTTTTGTAGCCATTGTAACGTCGTATTTACGCCGTCACATACATAGATAAATAATATATGGTTTGACATCCGTCACTTAAGGATTTTCCCTATTTTTTTTTTAATAAACGAAACACATCTTTAAAAATGGTCTTAATTTCATAAAACATTAAAATAAATACGTAATAATTGTTATTCTAAATTTAAGAAAACTTTTGTAATTTATGGTTAGTCCATGCCCAAATTTAAATTTTAATGCGCCAACACTGAGACTCGCGGCGTTTTTGGAAGTACGACCTGGCAACATTACTTTTCGGTTCTCTGCAGACACGAACAGTCACTTTTAAAAATGTGAAATATAATATTAATTTATAGTTCGGTTTCTTTTTTCAAAAATGCGCTCACCGCATTAATGTGAATTAATATAGGTGCCAATGGCCCTTTAGTAAAACTTTAAAAGAGCTGCGATTGCAGGTAAGAATTAAGATTGTCATACATAATTATATCTAGCCATGTTGCCTGGTCTCACAAATGTCTCTTTTGTTTCAGCTCTTTATACTCTTTAAGTGATCTTTATACTCTTTAGCTTCATCTTTAATTTTAATGATATCTTTATAAATATCATTTTGATATCCTTGACCATGGACCAGCCATAATAGTCTAAGTATATCCGATACTTAATGTACTTTGACGCCTGGAATCCAATCTGGTATGTACACTTTCACAATAAATAATTGAAGAGGAAAACACCTTTATCATTCAACCCTAGTCAAAACTGGACTTGAGATTAAAGGCCGATGTTCCCGTAAGTTATTCCGGACACCTGGAGATATCACCAGCTTCCCGGCGCCCGTTACAACTCTCACTTTAAATGGAAGCTGAGAAGCTAAAATCGGCTACCATCAACCGGCCTTCTCCAGCCTTTTTCGTTCTCTTTTTTGAAATAACTAAATAGTCACACAGTCTTTTTTTATTTTTTTACCTTACAATGTCGCCTCTCACATAGGGACAGGATTTTGACTAGGATATTTTGTAACTTTGTAAGTGAAATATAGTTATTTTGCTATATCCATCATAACTTTTACATTTTGCATAACATAAATTCATTAATTTTTCACTTTTGAACTGAATGTTATTATCACATAACATACATCGAGTAACTTTTTCCATTTTTGCTTCAAAGCTTTGTTTTGGCAAGCTTATAGCCATATTTTACTTTCATTATAAACTAATTTGCTATTATGTAATTAGTACATAATATATTTTAGAATAAATAGATTCTGAGAAGAAAATGTGATGCTAATAACCGTTCACACAACTTTCTTTGCCATATTTTGATATTTGACAAATTATTTGCAAATAGTCATTGCATAATATTGTTGTTTTGTTATTTAATGTGCATTTCAGCTTTCAGCAAGAAATAAATATTGTTTCATGCATAATTTACTTGTGTTAACCTATCATTTACAGAATTGTGTAAACTTAATATAAGTTCAAGTAAGTACATGTGTTTATTACTAAGTGTTTACTGAAAATAGTTTAATTGTTTAATCCTGTTGTTAATCACTTATGCACAGTGTCTATTGATCAGTTTTCTATGCAATTGATAATGCAAAATTAACTTTTTTTACAACAACAATACATAACAAGTTTTATTACATGTCAAACTTAAGTTTTGTACATTGAAGTTCAAATGTTTTGATATAGTATCAGGTTAATTCTGATATTATACTGGTTAATTCATATTCCTGAATAACTGTTATTGTTTAATTTAACTGTAGGTTTCCATAAACATTGCATTTAACTTTCCAATTTGTCAATAAATTTCCACTTAAACTTTCATTGCAAATCTTAGTATACAATGATATGAGATAACTTTTATTGCGGAAAGTGTTTGTTTACAAGAATTAGTTCTTGGTAATTCTTATTTTTATTGAATAATTGTAAAAATTATTAGCATTTAACCTTAAATTAATGTTAGTTTTATAAAAACAACTTAAATTTATTGGAAAACATTACAACTTGGTAGTTTTTGTTAAACTTACAATATAGTTTATTATTTTTCTGTGAAATAGAGAAAATAACTTGAGTCTTATAAGAATCTTACACTATGACGGATAAGGAGTGTCAAACTGATAAAATCATGGCAGGAACTTCATTCAATAAGACAATAGAAACCTGTATTTCATGTTATGTTGCAAATGATCATAGAACATGGTCTAAGTTCATTCCCCATGTTCAAAGTGCTATTAATAGTACTGTTAATTTAGTTACTGGTTTTACTCCAAATTTTCTTATGTTCGGTCGTGAAGTCGTGTTGAATGGGTCCTTGCATAGATATTCTTCTATAGATGACTTGTTTGATATTAATATTGAGAAACCTGACGGTTATGGTAATTTGTTAGATTCACTTAAAGATATTTTTATTAAAGTTGTTGATAATTTAGCAAAATCTTATAAAAAGAATGCTAAATTTTATAATTCGAATCGAAAAGTCATTTCCTATGACGTTGGAGATATTGTATGGAGGAGAAACTTTGTACAATCCAACGCAATTCATTTCTTTTCTTCAAAGTTAGCACCCAAATTTGTTAAGTGCAAAATAATTGACAAAATTTCAAATAATGTTTATTTATTAAAAGATTTTGATAAAAATAGTTCTGGTAGATACCACATTAAAGACATTTTGAAAATATAACTTAAATAATTAGGCATTTTGTTCATTTTTGATAGTTGACATTTACGGTTTTCACTTTCTTAATTTCGCTTTGGTTCTTTCTCTTGCGCTTTGGAAATGGTAGCCTTGTGAGGTGATGAATGAAAGATGAATACAAGGTTGGCTACATATTGAATGGTGATGTATGAGTGTTCCTGAAACGAGGAAATAGAATCTCAGTTTTAAAAATTAAATTGGTATCATTTTATTAGGCATGTTTTGGTAATTAAATTAATTTAATAATATTCTATCTGGCAATTAGATGTTTTAACTCTTTTTTGAAGAATTTAATTTTGCTTCTAGCATCATAGGATCTTATCTTAGTTTGTTTTGGGTCTTCTTATTTTTATAAGATCTCATATTTTTGAGGATTTTATATAGATAACCTTTTGTTTTAAATTTCCAAGTCTTATACGTTTTATTATTAGAAGACTTATAAACTTTTGGAGATCCTTAATACTTTATTTCTGGTCTTTATTCATTAACTAGTTTAATGGATTAGAGTTCCTTGTTTCCACGTTTATTCCTTATTAGCTTCTGTTGTTCTTCCACAATAGTCTACTAATAACGTAATAATGTTTATTTCGTTTGTATAAATAGTTGAAGTTTAGGGATTACTATTTAATTTACTATTTTGTAAAGTTTGTTTAGGTGTTTGTGCTTAGTCTGTAGTCTTAAGAACTATTACACGGACGCGACTTTTAGACGGACTTTCCCGTTTTACTTTTTCCCAGTCGACTTTCCTCGATCTGTAGGTACTTTTACACCTTTAGGTGTCCCCTTTTTCTCTTTTCCATCAAGTTCATACTTGATTTGGTACAATTTATTTTATAGGTTTGCTAGACATCATTAGAATGTTCTGTGTTTTTCCTACAGCTTTGCTGGAAAAATTTCGTAGTGTTAGACTTATGACTGACATACTATTTTCCCAGACGATGTTTCATTAATAACTCGTTCTGTTTTTTTTTCCATTTTCCCAGACGGTGTTTCATTAATAACTCGTTCTGTTTTTTTTTTCCAATTTCCCAGACGGTGTTTTATAGATAACTCGTTCTGTTTTCTTTATGCAGCTATGCGATTATTCTATGTAGGGCGAAGGAGCCGACTACATTGAATCAGTGGTATTCGATAGTGCATTAATTTTGTGATGCATTCATTCTTTTGTAGTGCATTCCTTTTGTATTTTGAAATGCATTCATTTTGTATTAGATTGCATTTAATTTTGTAGTTACTTGATCATTCTATGTAGGGCGAAGGTGCCGACTGCATTGAATCAGTAGTATTCGGTAACATAATACTTATTTTTCCAACTCGATTATTATTGTGTTTGGTAATTTTTGTTTCTGCTCGATAATTTAGTGTAAGGCGAGGGTGCCGACTACTCTAAATCGGTTGAATCGGTAGAACGTTTTTTTTCTCTTTCCTATTTCCACACATTTATGTGTTAAGAATTTGAAACTTTCATAAAGTTTATTTTATTAGGAATCTTGTTTGTATTCGAATGTTTAGTGTAAGGCGATGGTGCTGACTACTCTAAACCAGAAGCGTTTCAATGCATAACAAGAAATCCGTATATTGGAATATTTTCTGCAATAAATTAATTTTAATATAACTTTTGTTTTCATATTTAAATTGACTTGCTGTTTTATATGGGGCGAGTGTGCCGACCATATTTAACCAGTTGCATGCCAGTCAATGGAAATTTTATTAGATTATTATAAAGTAATCATTTTTTTTTCTTTCCTCTTTCTTTACTGTTAGGTGTAGTTGGATGTTATAAAAATAACATTCGTTATTTTTATAAAATCTAGTGGGGGGGAATTGTAACGTCGTATTTACGCCGTCACATACATAGATAAATAATATATGGTTTGACATCCGTCACTTAAGGATTTTCCCTATTTTTTTTTTAATAAACGAAACACATCTTTAAAAATGGTCTTAATTTCATAAAACATTAAAATAAATACGTAATAATTGTTATTCTAAATTTAAGAAAACTTTTGTAATTTATGGTTAGTCCATGCCCAAATTTAAATTTTAATGCGCCAACACTGAGACTCGCGGCGTTTTTGGAAGTACGACCTGGCAACATTACTTTTCGGTTCTCTGCAGACACGAACAGTCACTTTTAAAAATGTGAAATATAATATTAATTTATAGTTCGGTTTCTTTTTTCAAAAATGCGCTCACCGCATTAATGTGAATTAATATAGGTGCCAATGGCCCTTTAGTAAAACTTTAAAAGAGCTGCGATTGCAGGTAAGAATTAAGATTGTCATACATAATTATATCTAGCCATGTTGCCTGGTCTCACAAATGTCTCTTTTGTTTCAGCTCTTTATACTCTTTAAGTGATCTTTATACTCTTTAGCTTCATCTTTAATTTTAATGATATCTTTATAAATATCATTTTGATATCCTTGACCATGGCCCAGCCATAATAGTCTAAGTAAATCCGATACTTAATGTACTTTGACGCCTGGAATCCAATCTGGTATGTACACTTTCACAATAAATAATTGAAGAGGAAAACACCTTTATCATTCAACCCTAGTCAAAACTGGACTTGAGATTAAAGGCCGATGTTCCCGTAAGTTATTCCGGACACCTGGAGATATCACCAGCTTCCCGGCGCCCGTTACAACTCTCACTTTAAATGGAAGCTGAGAAGCTAAAATCGGCTACCATCAACCGGCCTTCTCCAGCCTTTTTCGTTCTCTTTTTTGAAATAACTAAATAGTCACACAGTCTTTTTTTATTTTTTTACCTTACACCATGGTGTTAATAAACTCAAAAGCTCTTCAAATGATATCTTTATTTGAAGAGCTTTTACTCATACTAAAATTAAAAAAAAAAAAAAACTTCTGTTCACAAACCATAGTATTGTCAAGTAAAATAGTTCCTATCAGCGTTTAGTACTATTAAAACAAGATGCTTTTATTTGATTATAATTTCTACACCCTATTTGTTTCTTAGGTTTTCACGCACATCACTCATTAAATAAAACTAGTTTTAACAGATTAATGCACGAACTTTATTTATTTATTGACGTTACGCAGCCTTCTCAGGTCTGCATCGTCAGAATAATGATTTTTTATTTACTTTGTCGAGCTACCTTCCAAAGACTTTTATTGAGAGTTCGGATATTTCATTGGAAGATTTTTAAAATTTTATGGTCTATGTATGATTAGTAGTAATTATTAGTTAATTTAGTTAAGAAAGTACTGTATTTAAAATTCTTATTTGTAATTTTGAGTTTATTTATTTGACCTTAACTACCGTAAACTACCACCGGTTCCAAAATTGGGAGACCTTTCTGAGAAGAACCGGCAAAACAAACTCAGACAGGCTTTCTATCTCCTTCTTATGTTAAATCATGCAAACAAAAAGAACTAAAAGTATCTGTTGGTCTTGCAGTGTGTGCTCGGGGTTGGGATTTTATCTCTTGTATAATGGGTTCCCAAGCTGGTGGTATATACCAACCATCTTCCCTATTGAAATTTGGATATTGGTGAATAAGGACACTATAATTTCAAAACCGGACATATAGTTCTTAATGATAATGATGATTATAAAGTCAATTATTAGAATAAATATTTTAAAGATTCTGTCAAATAGCGGTTCTTGTATATTAAAAATTATATTTAATGGTTTTAAATATTCTATAATATTTAATGGTTTTAAATATTCTATAGTACGACCATAATTTAATATGATTTTGTAAAAAAAAAAATTTTACCTCCCCAAATTACTAATTCGATAATTTTTATGACAAACTGCACGTCTCTAATGACAATGAAAAACAATAATTATTTTTATGATATATGTCATGGGCGCATAAATGTCAAAACAGGCCTATTATTTTGTGATAACAGTAATGAAAACGCAATCATGACCTCTATTAACAACGAGATCTGAACGAGAAATGCCAAGACACGATACATGACGTCATGGCCATGAGTTGTACCCGAAATATAACAATGCCCTGTCGGTCCTTGATGACGCCAGACACCTCCTTTTGAGTGCTGGGCCCGACTCGCCCATAATCTCCATGTCCTACAGCTTGCCCACTAATGTGCTATTAATGTGTAGAACACGATACAAGACGTGACAGAAATAACTGATAAATAGCACTCACGTATAATATAACAATAAGTTACCACGTACTTTGGGTCCTTGATAACTACGGTTACCATCCTCTGAGTGTCCTTACTAAAGTATCCGTATGGCAGATACTTAAGATGCGCCACCTACCCTGTAGCCGGGCCTTACTCGCCTATAATCTCCATGTCCCACAGTTTGCCCTCTATTATGCTATAAATGTGCAGAAAACGACATAAGACACGGCAGAAATAACTGATAAACAACACTCACCACCCCCTGTGGGTCCTTGATGACGCCGGTCACCTTCCGCTGGGTGTCCTTACTGAAGTACCCATATGGCAGATACTTGAGGTGCGCCACGTAACCCGCGGCCGGTCCCGACTCGCCCATAATCTCCATGTCACCGTGGTTGTCCACCCACAGCTTGCCCACTATTATATTGTGGACTGTCGTCGTTACCTTAACACGAATAATCAATTATATTATTAGAGAACCCGTCTGAACGTCTTTATAGAATTATTAGAATCTGTCTGCAGCGCCACCTGGGCCTAATTGTAAATCTAAACTAAAATACACTAAAATAACACATTAAAATCTGACACAGTTTGTACTGAAGAATTGTATAAAGATCCTTTCCAATCCTGATAGTGAGACAGGGAAAGGTTCTGCATATTTTTACACGATCAAAATGGATTGAATTAAAAGAACTCGGATGTCCGATGTCTTGTTCGTTAAAACGGCGTATGGAATGTTTACTAATTTACAAAATAAATTTTAACACACGCAAATGTGTGATGTACTTCAGGTTAACTAAAATTACTATACGAGTTGTTCCTTGTCTCTCAAACAGGATGTATAATGTATCTAGTAAGACGCCTTTAGAATGTACTATGGGGAATGAGGTTCTATAGTTCTACACAAATATGATAAAACTCTTCAAAGATTTATTTACAATGCTGCTATTTGTATAGATCTATTGCGTTTACGCCAGTTGTATACAGTTCCCGATCTATCTCAAAGTTTCTAAAACTTCTTTCCATTATAAAATTTTACTTGATACTTGAAAAAATCTTGTCTTTTATGTAGGCCCCGCAATTTACTTCTCTTTATTGAATTATTATCGTCTAAAAGTGACACATCGCTCACATGTGTATCAAAACATCGAACAAATAAAGCAAAATTAAGTGACAACATAGTAATCACGTGAGACTGTTACAGTGTTAATGTTCAATTCCATATACATCTATGGCATGTATCATCCAGAGGCGTAGAGTAACCACACGGGGTAAGGGCAATTTTAACCACCCTTTTAGCTATCCCCGGCTATATCCCCGTGAAGAAACGCTTATAAAAAAATAATAGCATATGTTATTTTTGCCACGCACCTAACAGTTACCCGCTACGCCACGCCACTGGTAGCATCGTGCTAGTGTGGTGTGTTTGCATGTGAAGTGAGAGATGAGAGTAGGACGAGATTCTTAGACTCGCCTTACTGTAATGGTATCTGCTACCGTCGCGGAACACGAGGTAGGCGTCGGAGAGGGGCGTGATCGCGATGAACTGGCCGCGGAAGTGGCTGACGACGGAGAAGTGCTGCCAGTGGGTCCAGCCGCGCGCGCCCTCCGCGTGCACCGCCGTCGTGGGCGGGTGGTGCAGCACCTGCACACTTACCTTACGTACTGCCCGCGTACAGTACTCGATACCCGAAGTGTTAATGGTGGTAATCATTGACACAGAGAATGGAATGAGCGTTCCCTAACCATTTATTGTCTATGAATAGAGTATTTGACAGTGTAAAAAATAAAGTCCCAATTGTTGGAATCTGTGTTTAGAATGAATATTGGCAGGGGTTTTTACTATTCTTACAAAAAAATATTCATAATTTTACTAAAAACTAACGAAAAAGATAATAGTTTTCTTATCTATTGTCACGTGACCCAAAACGCTTGGGATTGGCGGAGCCTAAAATGATGTCACACGCAAGTAAACTTCCGGTTAAAGTGGCATTACATTGTATCGTTTGACGTTTTAATAAAAGCCGTGTGACGTCACATACTAGTAAGACGCCATACTGCCCAGAGAAACGTTTTCGCGGCAACTTGAAAATGGAGTTTTTGATTTGGTTATTTTTACTGAAATACACAACAGAATGATGAATATCCACTTCTTACGGACTCCGATTAGTCAATAACGTGAGATCGTTTTCTAAAACTTGTCAAATACCCTATTGGAAACTTATATCTTTCTATAGGTACTATAAATTAACTCTATAGTGTTGTCAATTTCATGGTAGTGTCGCTCAATCTGTTCTGTGTATGGAGGTATAAATTCGCCATCTTATAAGGTGGCAATCAACGGCTCCACTGATACATGTCGTGAAGTATCGCTTGCTCGTTACCAAACCAAATCGCTTGTTTGTAATTTCTCCTACCTACCTAAAACTCCTTTCCTGTTTCTCCTGGCAGCTTCCTGGACCATTTTTCGCAAATCCCTGTACCTTAGGCGCACTCGCATTTTTCGAATCGATCTTTCGCCAACGAGTGAATATCAAAGCTCGATACGTATTTCAATATTAATTCAATCATAAAAGAGATGATAAAATTAAACATAGTAAGCAGTATAAAAAAACAGCACAAGTAAGCAGCATAAAAAAGTAAAAAATATGTATATCTTAACACTATGACGTCTGTTCTTTAAAAGTTGAAGTTGAGTTGACTTTGACGCACACTTGGCTTGGCTTAGTGCCGCTTAGTATTCAAAGTCCACGAAAAATCGAAACACAAACGGGAGTGCGCGCGCTCCTTTGGCGATATGTAGGTACCTTCCTCCAGGCGTATTTGTTGCCGTTATAGAAGAAAACTGAGGCGCCACACAGCGGCACGAGCTGCAGGTATTTACCGCAGTAATTAAAAGTTACGAAAATTTCGCAACATAAATGCAAGTGCACACAGTCCTTTGGCGACATGTAGGTACCTTCCTCCAGGCGTATTTGTTGCCGTTATCGAAGGACACGGAGGCGCCACCCAGCGGCACGACCTGCAGGTATTTCCCGCGGAACTTGGTGGTCATCGTGAACTCCTGCCAGCACTGCCAGCCCGCCTGGCTCTCGCAGAACTGCGCCACCATCGGCGGGTGGTGCGACACCTGCCCCGATCCAAACAACCGGCCGTTTGTCACGCGAATTTTGTTTATGTGCCGAGATCAGATTATCTAGCACGAGTTTATTTAGCCCCCGTAGCACGAGCAACAAAAATATACATTATACCACGATTTTTATCGCGTTTAACTATCAGACTACATAGTAATTTGACAAATGAGTGTGATAAAAACGCGCTATCACACTAATATTATAAAGGCGTTTGTTTGTGTGTTACTTCTTCAAATATAAACGGCTGGAGCGATTTTAATAAAATTTGCTATGGTTAGGTTAGTTAGCTGATACCCTGGATTAACACATAGGCTATGTTTAACTGCGGGAAAATATCCCTAATATACCTCAGGTAATACCGCGGGGCACAGCTGGTATATCATATCGCTCGGCTCATGCCACGGCGGCTGCGGTAACCTTATTCACAGATAAACACAACACCACCAAAGGGTAGTGCTATTTCATTGTGGTCTTCCGTAAAGTAGAGGCAGACTAACGCTCTAATACAAATAGGAAATCTACTACTATTGATGCAGTTGCAGCCGATTTTTAACCTACTTTCAAATATAACGTGCACTGATAAGCAAAGATTTTTAAATGAGAGATTCCCGGGAATACGTACAGGTGCCTGGCCAGTTTAAAAAGCGGCCTTCTTGTATACGATTGTAAGATGTATATTACTTTATTGAAAAGGCGGTTAAAACGCTTGTTATGTAACGTAACTCTTATTTGCACCTATAAAAATATACGGTAATATTGACTATTATTTCTAAGTACGCTACCTTAGTAGCGTACTTAGATATAATAGTCAATATTACCATTTTTTCAAATAAATATGATGATCATAGTCGAATGATATAATAACTCGTACTAGATACTGATCTCCTGTCCAACCAAACATAGTCTGTATAATATTTAACCATTTTAGAAAAGTATCAGCATATTAAATAATAAATAAATAAATATTTCCAACACTCACACCAATTAGCCAAGCCCCAAAGTAAGCACTATAAGGCTTGTGTTATGGGATACTAGGGTAACGGATAGATTACATATACTGTACATATATAAGTATATTTATATGGAAAATACATATTAAACATCCATCCATATTACACATATCCTTCACTGTTTTTCCATCCATATATTCCTTTTTTTGTTTTAACTAAATTTTAGGGGCAGAAGAAAATAATCGCATAAGCAACACATTAAACTCTCGCTTTGAAAACGGTCTCTCTATAGATAAACAAACGGAAATGTTCGAAGGATGTGTATAACAATAATTTAGAAAACCAAGGAGATATTGTACTGGTCGCATTGGCAGTGTGACAAATACATTATAAGGGGATAAGGATCGAGGCAAGTATTGAGAGGATAGGCAAGGAATCTTCCATTTTATAAGCTTAAAGTTTTGTAGTAATATAAAACTCTAAGTATATGTTGCTCAAGTCTTAATATGTATTTGTAATTAACTTCATTAAGTTAGTTATAAGCTGATAATATTCATAACTGATTAATTTCATTTAAATGTTTAAGTATTCATTTCATGCTATTTTTGATGTGTAATCATGGATATGGATAATCATGGAAGCTTAATAGTCAAAAGTTAGTCGTAATTGATTGTGCCTATCATCAAAATATTAGATAATGAAAATTGATATTTTGGAATAAAAAGTTTGAGGGCATATTAGACGCTAGTATAAATTTTACATTGAAATTTATCGTTACAGTCATATTATGTATATGATTCGTATATGTGACTGAATCATGACTTTCTGTTATAGAAAACCACAGAAAGGGACTAAGAAAAAGATCTATGATTCCAATACATAAGTGGTATTTATTTTATGTATTTTATAAGCAGTACAGCAATTGAATGTCATACCATAATTATGAGGGTAGACTTATATTTGAACTTCTGATTGATTAACCATAAAAGCTTAAATCTGTCAAAGTTTGTAGGAAAGGAAGGAAGCAGTCAGGAGAAGGTAGGCAGGAGTATGGCAATAAAAAAAATGCTTAAAGTATTTTAAATGAAAATATTACTAGAAAAAAAACCACGCGGACCAGGCAGCAGACGGGACTCGAACCCGCACCCTTCGCTATCCGCATGCATAAGGTCAGCACATTCCCCAGATAGCGAAGGGTGCGGGTTCGAGTCCCGTCTGCTGCTTGGTCCGCGTGGATTTTTTTTCTAGTAATATTTTCTCTCGATTTAAACATCGAGCAGTTACATGCTTAAAACATAAAAAATATAACCAAATATTTTTTCATTTTTATATAAATTCTACCACGATAATGACACGGCAATAATATAGCAAATAATTCGCTATTTGTTATTTTTTTTTACTAAATCATATAATAAACCCCTTATTTGAATACCGAATCATCTGCTTTATCGATGCGATGGTGTTACAAGACTAATTTATATTTGAAATAATTTTCCTCTAAACTATTGCAGGTGATACTGATGGATCGGCAAACTTTAACTTCCTACTATTTTTGAGCAAATAATTTAGACTTCAACGATGCTTTAAGTATTTGGCGTACCACAAGTTGTCTCTGCCATTGGGGTTTTGATAGTCTGCTATTAATTATGCCAATATATCGTTAGGCTACCTATATATTTGTATGAATGTTAGTATATGTATTTTACCTTACCTGTTCAGATATTGATCTCCAACCCAGATCCGACATTCGATCGCATTCGTAAGTTTCGCCTAGCAGCGGATTAAACGGTTTATTTGTTCTGAAAACAAAACTTATCGTTAGGTGCCTATAAACGGTTTATTTGTTCTGAAAACAAAACTTATCATGTTATTTTGTATTATAACATATAGGCGCGTATATCCAGCTCCAGCTTTGAGGCACTCAATTCAGTAGAAATCAAAATGATCGGGACAAATAAATACCGAGTATGGTTGGTCATAGATTCTAAAAGGTCTCTGCACTGCAATTGCGACTTTGCGGGGGTTGTCGATGGCTATGAATAAAGGTGATGCCTAATGTGAATAAAGAAATCTTTTGTGTGACGACATTTAATGACTTATCGTCTTTCAGGATCAACCAGGCTGATACATATATACATGTGATCAGTGTGGTAATCAGTGAGCAGAACAAAGAGGAGATTTTGAATAGGGGTATGCTTTAAGAAATCAAATGAAGCTACTAATAGGGTTGCGCTGAGCACACGGTCAGGATTCAAACAGGTACTGCATTTTTTTCAGGAGTATCTACGCCCCGGAAAATAGTTGAATTCATATCAGCGCCTCCGGTGCCAAGTAGCTAGACATATTAGGTTGGGGTTTTGATAAAGTGTATTTACATTTAACTAAATTATGTGGGTGCCATTTTGTTGGATAACTTTTTGCCATCATGTAGGTAGGCACAGGAAAAAAACATTTAATTTTTTTTTTTAAATTTCCATTGCAATAAAAAATTTTGGGCTTTTGATTAAAAAACAGCGACAAGTGGTTTTGGCAGTCCTCTTGTGATGTTTATACTGCCTAAAGAATTCTGAAGAGACTACAACTGGTGGAAATCTGAAGGTGCAAGGTCAGTACTATACGGCGGATCGCAGGACACCCTGAAGGTGTGCTCGGCGTGGACTCGGCAGCGCAGCACTCTCATCAGCGCGGCCATACAGTGCTGACATGATAAAACAAATAGCTGATAAACTAGGGCAGGCAGTCACCTGTTGGAGGTGGTGGCGTACGAGGACACGGTGAAGGCGGCCACGTAGGCGAGCTGGTGCGCGGGGTCAGCGAACTGCGCAGCGCGGTCTAAGATCGATGAGTACTCGTAGTCCTCCGTCAGTCGTTGCAGCATCGATAGTGGCTCGCTGAAGTTTACCGGGATAGGTATCTTGGACAGCTCCTTGCCTGTTACCCGACAGAAAAATACAAAATTTAAAAAAATAGAACACTATCTTAAAAACGCGTTCGGACGACACGCGCCCGCTAAGCGCATGCGACGCGCGTCAGCACCCACGTCCAAGTAGCTTTGAAATTTGTTGTATATATGTAATATGAGTCTTATGACACATAAATAGATCTCAAATTCCATTTATCGAAATCCACCCGCACACGTCACTACTGTGCTTGCGTCTACTGAACGAAGTAGTCCAGTCACTATAAGCGGGCGAGAGGCGCGCGCCGATTTTGCGCGTGGGTATAATGCCCCCTCTTCTACACGTTGACAAATGCATTTGTAGATCTGCGGATGCGTCCGCCGACGTGTAGTCGGGGTAGTTTGCGCGTCTGTGGTAGGTATTTGACGTCCGCAGATGCGTCTGCCATCAATCCGTTAGTTGTCGGTTTTTGTGGCACGCAACAAAGGGATTCAGACGTGCCTGTCCACACGTCTGACGACGCATCAGTAGTCATCGGAGTTGCGAACGAGAGTGCACGCGTGCTTGCAATTTTTTTCGAGTGTCTTACTCTCGTTCGCCAAAATGGCTAATGATGAATGAGCACTGAGGAAACATTTACATTTCTCGGATTGTAATTATAATTTAGTAATGATTTATTGTAATTATGTATTTATTTTAATAGAAATGAAATGTACTAAACAAATGAATGGCTGCGGCAGCTACGAGTTATATCCATTTTTGAATGTTGCGTGCGTGCATGTTGCGTCTTCCGAGAATGAACACAGACGTCTTCAGACGTATGGTCGGCTCGTGGTGATCCATCTGCAGATGCATCTGCCAAAATCCGCGGACGCATTCGCCGACGTGTAGAGGAGGCATAAGGCGAGCACAACACGTGTGCTGTGTCTCTTTCTTTCGTGTTGTGTCACGCGTCAGAGACCTATCGGTTTCATACATTTAGTACGGTTAGAGTGAGAACGCTGTCGACACACCGCGAAACAAAAGTATAGTTCTATCCGCACTAAATGTATGAAACCGATAGCTATCTGATGCGTCACAACACAACACGACAGATAAGTATTTTTCTACCTTGACACTGTTGAATGAACTATGAAGGTGTTAAATAAGAATAAGTTAAAGTGTAAACATTGTTATAGAATGTGACGCGATGTTATCGCAGCGACGCAACAAGTGTATGAGTGTATCGCTACTCGCAGCGAGAGCGCAAACGCGTTGTCAAACGTCACGTGAGACAGAAAATTCCATAAACTTTTTTTACATTCGGATATTGCCACCGCCGTTAATTGCTATAAACAAATGGCTATCAAGGGTAAACATTTTTGCATCGTATTGCTTGCTTTCCACCAGTGACAAGGGACAACCAGTGAGAAGGGTGAGTGACAGGAGGCCTACCCCCTATCGGGATTGCTTTAATTATTGCTATAGCTTATGATTTCATTTTGTTATGTCTGACCGTCAAAGGTTTTCAAATACCTCGCGCTCTTTTTGCATTGGTAATAACAATATTAACAACGAGAGGCGGTAGGCCCCCTGGTAAGTGTGAACGATACAACAACAGTCGCGTTTGCACTACTCTCTTTGATATTCGTACGAAACCGCCTTAACGTGAGCGTCAACGTCAATGAAAGTGATCTGTTTATTTTTATCTCTCGCGTTATCAAATTTATGTGCTATGTCCCTGTTAATTGTGGTGGCAGAGTGGTTTGTACGCCGGGTTTCATGGCTATCGCCGACTCCAGAGGTCCCGGATTCGAATCCCGGTGGGGGCAGATGTTTGTGTGATGAATTCGAGCATTTGTACTCCAGTCATGGATGTTTAATAAGTATTTCTACATAAATATAGTTATATATGTGCAGTATATGTATTCTATCCATTACCCTAGTATCCCATAATACAAGCCTTACAGTGCTTACTTTGGGGCTAGGCTAATTGATATGTGGTAGAAATATTAAAAAAAAAATGTCGAGCGAATGGGCCGAATGTAAACGGGGTAATAGCAAATTGTCTCGGACACGCGCGATTCTGTAGTGAGTTCAGTGTTGACATTCTGAAAGAATGAGCGTCGTTTCGTAGAGATTACACGATGATAAAAGCATGGATTAATCGCGATTCTCCCGCTTGTGCATGTGGCGCCTTTTATGTATCATCTCTTATCTATTAGACAAGTCCGTCTGTCTGTGGTGCTGTTTCAGCGGCCAAACCGTAAGAGATAGATAAAGAGAATATTTAAGTTATAAGTTAAGAATAGTCTGATAAGACTGCAAACCGGATTTGAGTAACGTAGCACTTCCGGTTTTCGAGAAATCAGGTTTTGGTGAACATTAGGTTCACTGGTTTGCTAGTTTTTGTTATTCTACCAGAATTATCTAAACATATAATAAAATGGTAGGAAATTCAAAACTGTACATTGAATATTTTTTAAAAGAATACTTGTAGTGTGATCTACAATCGAATCTAAACATATAATAAAATGGTAGGAAATTCAAAACTGTACATTGAATATTTTTTAAAAGAATACTTGTAGTGTGATCTACAATCGATACTAAAGCCAAAAATATAGTTTTTAGAATTTTTGTCTGTTTGTATGTCCAGGATAAACTCAAAAAGTACTGCATGGATTTACTTCAAATTTGGCACGAATATTATTAAGAAGTCGGGTCAACATATAGGCTACATATTATCACGCTATCACCTACCCACCCCTAAGGGGGTAATACGGGCTTGAAAGTTTGTATGAATGTCCTATGTTTATGAAGTAAGAGACTTGAAATTTAACATGTATGCTCTGGTGTAGAGGTGCACCAATAATAAATAAATCTTTAGAAATAAATAATAATAAATAAATAAATAATAAGAAACAGTTGCTTACCTATACAATTCTTCATGATAGACCAGAGGCTGAGTGGGTAGTTCGGTTTGTCTGGTACTCGCATCCGCCTCGGATGGCCGTCTATCATACTCACTACCTCCGAACAGTGAGGCTGCAATATAATCAGTATTATAAGAGAATACTGCAAGCAGTGGACAGTTTCAAATAGAAATAAAAAGTAGCTTAACAAATTAGATAGAATTTTATATATTCATGGACCATTTAACATCAAAGTAAGAACAGGAAGGATAAACAATAAATTATAAAAAAAACCTTATAAAAAATGAGGCTGCTAAAATGGGATAAAACTGAAGTATGGAATTGGATCAGCGTGATAAGAACTCATGATATAATACAAACATTTTACATTAAAAGTGGAGAGTTCTGCTATGTTTACACAGAAGAGAATGTAATACAGTTATTAGAATTAAAATACAATGGTCATTATCAACTTATACGTCAATGTCAGTCCATCAAAAGATTTGAATGAAAATTGATGGAAAATACATGTTGTATATTTGTTTAACTCACCCATACTTTTACGTCTTGTTTCTCAGTAAGGGGTTTGGTAGTTGTTGATGTTGCTTCAGATCCACCCATCGCACTTTCTGCTCTTTCCTTATCTTCCAAAAATAGCACCTATATAATCATAATAAAATATAATTTCCATTTTCATTAGTCATTGACTTTTTCTAATAATAGTCATCAAATACTGTTAATTCTACTATGCAATGCCATGATTGCCAGAACCTAATAAAATTATCTCAAACCATATGTGGTTAATTTTTTTTTTTTCTTTAGTTTTATTACTTAAATACTAACAATGTTTAATGATCAAACTAGAAATACAGATGGCTACTTTTCAACAATTACAATATGAAATGGCAAAAGATAATCTGTCTTATTGCATAACTGGTTTAGAATTGATTATTTAATATTTTTCTGTTTAACACCTTAATTCTCCCTATTCTAACTTATGGGTGTCAGACTTGGGCATTAACTAAATACCAAGAAATAAAACTAAGCACATGCCAACACACAATGGAACGAAGTATGCTAGGTAAAAGAAATATAGCAAAAATCAGACACAGCACCATCACAGCAATGCTCGAGATGTCTTATTGACATTGAGCAGTCTTAAATGGAGATGGGCTGGCCACATGATAAGAGGTTAAGTGAAATGGAGCGAGTCAGTGTAACCTTATGGTACCCAAGAGAGGAAGAAAGGGAATTCACTGAAGAGATGGGAGGATGAAACACTTCAGTTAGAGATGAAAACTTGAACAAGGCTGGCAAGCGTGAGGAAAAAGTAGAAGAGTTTGCAGGAGGCCTTTGCCAAAAGGCACAAAGAGTTAAGATGGGCCATGGAGATCTCTGAATAAACACTATAAAGAAATAAATAAATAATATTTTGATTTTTTTATTCAGGCTGGTATTAAAAACTGCTAACCTTAATATTTGGCACTATAATCATAGCCTAGCTGCATCACACATAGGATAAAGACAGGATTCTACTTGTCAATAGAACCTATCATATGTGTAATATGCAGACAACTAGTCTCTCACTCTTCAAAATACATATCGCCATTGAGGTCAAAACACACAAGGTAACTATCACAATGGATCGGAGATACATACATGCAAGTGATAAACATAACCCTCCTTCTAGGACAGTAGGGTAAGAAATAACATTGCATTACTTGCCCAACTGACTTATTTATGTTTATAATTTTTAAGATTCGTTTTTATCATTATTAAGAAAATACTATAAATATTAAAAAGACCTACCTGCTGAGTTTCTGTTACAGTTTCTCCCTCAGATTCATCTGAGTTTTCCCCACTTTTTACTTTACTTTTCCTATTGACCTGTGAATATGATAAAAAATTAATGGATTGTAAAATTTGATTAAAAGAAGAAAAATTTTTTTTTAATTCTTAATAGATTTATTAGAATTTTTGTAGATAGGGTTATATTGGTTTTTAATGTATGAAATTTGACAACAGTTTATCCTTGTCATTCTCTACACAGAATGTTTAAATTAGTTTTAGGTTTAGAGAATCATGCCTGAATTGACACCACTATTAAGTATTGTATACTAACACATGGATCTATGTTGTCCGAATAACAAATGATTTGTATTATCAAGTTTTATTTATTATATCACTATCTCAAACCTGCAACTTTATCTGCATAGAATAATTGTTTACCCATAGACAGATTGCCCCTGAGTGGCTAAGGCCAGAAAGAGTAACAGGTAGTTGCTATCTCATTATATATTATAAATGTAAAAATATGGATATAGAATAAGAAGAATTGTCTATATCATGTTTGACCATGCACACAACTTGTTACTATGTATCTTTATAACCTTCAGACACTTTGATTTAGTACAATATAGTAGATATTAAACTGACCTTGAACTAATAATACCCTGTAACATCAGTCAACGCATTGTACAAGTTTCAGTGGCAATTTTGTGATGTCTAAATTCAATGAAACAAGTATATTCATATGCTCATTTAGTTATGAAATAAAGCACTTCACATTTGATTTTAATATACAATTGATAATATACATTTCAACTTACAGGCACTTTTATCACAAATGAAGTCTTATCCTCCATGGCTGAAGACACTCCCTCCTCCATGGCATCAAAGAATTCATGATCTTCATCCTCTGTATCATTAGATTGTCCAGAGCCGTTACCACCTGTAGTTACAAAAAAAATATGTTGCAATCAAATATAAGGTCACCTACAAACACTATATTAACACAAAGCATTATTTGTTTATTAATTAATATAATTAAAGTTCAACAGTTAATGAAATTTCCTTGTAAATTTATAATCAATGTTACCAACAATGTACTTAGTTCAATATTTATTTAGGATAAAATACAAATTTAGATAAACTGAAGTTGAACTTATTGTTTTATAAATTAACAAATATAATGGATGAGACTAATGCATGCTTTTACTGTGATTGTAGCAAATAGCCAAATGAGGATAATAATCATACCTTATTTAAATTATGTTTCATTTAAATGATTATTGATAAGCAATATAAGTACATGTATTTACAAAACTAACTGGATACTGTATAAATGGCCTTATATAAAATTAAAACAAAATAAAGGGGTACATCACTTCCAGCATTCCCTGTGGGGTACAGATATTCTACAATATAGTTGTACCATACTAAAACTCTGTTCATTTCCTCTTTAAAACCAAAATGATTTTCCTATAATAGAAACAAAGTTTGAGCATTTTATGCAGTTATTGTTGTTTATACAACATTTGTTATCATAACTTAAAACAACATCCAGGGATAATATATATGATTCACAGTACAAAGGGCAGATAATATACTATACCAATGTTAACTTATGTCTTCATGAGATGAACATTATTAATGTCTCTTAGGCACTGCTTTGTTTACTAAGTTAACCCAGCTATTTACATGCTCACTGGTCAGCAGCTTATTGCAGATATTGGAAACCTAAACAATAGGTAAAAAAAATAAACAATCATGTTTGTTGATACTGGTGCTGTGTCTTGTGAATATGTATGGGTATGAATCGCAAACCAGACTGTGCTTAATCTCATGAGCAAATTTCACTTACCACCCATGACGTTTTTAATGATGTATCATTCAATAAGTCATTGAAAGTAACCTAAACTGAATAATTACTGTATGCAAGCTAGCACTACAAGGCCAAGATCACAAAAGACACGACGACACTATTATCAACAGCAGAGCTAGAACACTGCCAAAAGGCGAGTTTTCGTTCGCGGTATGTGATAATTAAATAAACGAATGATTTGTATTCTACCAATTACAACTGCTTTTGTATAGTAAAACAACCTTGGGATCGTCAAAAAATAAAAAAAAGTACGAGGTGGATAGCCGGAGTTTATATTGGGTTCAAAGATCTTCTACGTACCGAAACCAATTCTAAATGTTAATCATTTTTTTACTTCTCATTTATCACTTTTTTTTAATTTAAAAACCTTTGGATTTGTTTTTTTGCAAAATTTCACTATAGCATTGGCCAAATTTATTTCGATTTTTTTGGCGTTCCGTCCGTCACTAGTGATGTGCATGTGATATTTATTCTCGTAATCGGTTCGATTGTCTATGGTCGTGACGAGACACTTGTTGGATTCAACTTGAAACAAAAATAATTAACCTTGGAATGTGCCTAGGAGTCAATAGTGAACTAGAAAAAAGCCGTGTAAACAAATCTTTTTAATAGGCTAGTTGAATCATGTCAAATTGTACTAAACAAATGTTTATTTCTTATAATGTTTGATATGAGGAACCTAAATACATCGATTTCACTTCATAAAAATAGGAAATAGTAACTTAATTTGAAAAATTGTTTTTTAGTCTATGTTTTTTAAACACTAAGGGTGTATTCCGAAATATACATCAGTATACTGGCCAGTGGTAATGACGTCACGAATCCGACGCCATATTGTACTGGTATAGTACCATATTTTTACTGGGAAAACGAATATGTCGTATGACCGAGCGTGCGTGAGATGCATTCGAATTTTATTTCTTTTTTATTATAAAACAACAATAACATCCGAACAATAAGAATTCCTTTTAATTGATGAGGTGAATAAAAAATCATTACTCGCGCTATTTTAAATATTTCTTCGATTTATGACGTCAGTGTACTGGCCAGTATACTTCGGAACAATTCACCAGTATAGCGTCGATTCATGACGTCATAGGCACTGGCCAGTATACTGGTATACATTACGGAATACACCCTAAAAACGCTGTCCACCATTATTGTGTTGTGACGTCACAAAATTTGTAAACAACTAAACGTCATTGTAGTGTTACTGTAGTTTCTTTCTTCTGACTAAAACATATCTAAAAACTCATATATCTTGTAGAAAAGTTTCCGTATATTGGTTTTGTTGACTAATTTATTGCTAGACGTCGGATTTGTGAAAGCAGAAACGACAAAACTCTTTGCCTTAGTAGGTACATTCACCTTAACAATTTTAATAATATACAGGGTGTTTCTTTTAGGGTGTCAAACCAGTGCGAGCTGATAGCGGAGTACCATATCTATCAATTTAACTCCCATTTATGTTCTACGATTTTTCGTAGTTTTCGAGTTAGATTTTTTTTTCGTTATGTTTATGATTCAATGACAAGACAACTTTGAAAAAGTATAACTTTTTTTTTTGTTCGATTTTTCTTTGATATTTTCATTTTAACAGAATCCCTATTAGTTCATTTGGTGAGAAATATAGTGGTTACCTGGAAAGTTTTTCGGGAGTTCTGAAAATTGGTAATTTTATAAATTTTGAGGTGCTCTTTTCGAATTTCGACTTTGCCACATCGTATTTTTGCCGCTCGCGCCGCAATATTGGAAAAATGGCGCCCAAAAGCAGTTTTTTGACAATATCTCCTTTCCGACTCATTTTACATTAAAAACAGTTATATGCAAAATGAAATTAGAGACAATTGCCTACAATTTATGTATCCATCTTTTTTTTCATAAAGTCAATAGTTTTGGCGTACGAGCGCCGCAAAGTGTACTCCAACGCGCATTTTGGCCAAATAAACTAATTTCCACACCATCTTGAGGTAGAGTAAGTGGCGCGTTTTTTTAATGTGGTATCCCCAATAGGCCTAATCTAATTAAATTCAATGTGCTAAAATTTAGCGTATTCTCCTTCGCTTTGTTGTTCTCGATTTACCAGGTGTTGCAAATTCATCGTCTGTAGTACCAATCGAAACGTCACAAAACGGTATTTCATCTACGTCATCCCCGATGGGATTATCAATTTCATCGTTATCCTCTTCGTTCTCGATTTGATCATAGGTTTGCTCAGTTATATTCTCCGTCTCTTCTTCATCATCGCTATCTGGTGATGGAACTTGCAAGTTACCGCAGGTACCGCTACAATTCGTGCATATAACAGAGCACTTTAACTCAGCCTTTCTGCATCCACAAGCTTTCTGACATCCTTTTTTGCATTTGCAAGAAATAAGTTTTAACAACCAACTGGTTGTTTAGGGGTTGGGGGGCTTAGTTGGGGGCTCGAGTGAGGTGACAGGAATTAGCCCATTATTGTTTTTTTATTTGATTATTGGAGTTTACTCCTTAAGAATCGTTTTGCATATATAAGGGGCCCGGTATTAGAAAAATGTGAGGAGTAAAATCTATCGATGAATAACATCGTTACGTTTTTGGTGCGCATCCTATGTCGCGCAACTTTGACAAACAAAGATGACGGATTGACATTAATATTTTTTTTTATATCTGAACTGAATTTAGATATTGTTTCTGATAGAGCAATGGGGACAACGAGGTATGGTACAACCATTGATGCAGTATTTTTAAGATTCGTGAACCACGTATCTACGAACGTCCATGTGTCTTATTTTAGTTACCATTAACCACTTATCACTGTAATTAATAATGCAGACAATGTTGATTTAATTAATATTTAAAAAATGATAATAGTCTGATAATAATAATTACATAATTTATCAACATTCCTAATGATATATTTATGCACATCTGAAATTGACTATTGTAAAAAGTTTAATGTAAAATATTTCGTCGATTAGTTATAATAAATGTATATGAAATGAATAAATATATATTTATATATGTATATTATTTTCATTAATTTGTTAATTTACCCTTTCATACAGTATCAATCTTTTTTAAATTAAATAAACTCTTTTTGCGTCTGGTTAGACTATCGAACTTATGGAGTAAACTCCAGTCGTGCGTCGGAGCTGACACACACAATTTTTTATTCTTATATATATATATATAAATATAAGAATAAATAAATAAAATATCAAGCTCAATCAAGAGTCCGCAACATACGCGTAGACACTTCCTTATTTAAGCGTAAAATAAAAATACCTGAAAAGTAGGATAACAGAAGTTTCGAGTGATAAGTTTTGGCCAAATAAACTAATTTCCACACCATCTTGAGGTAGAGTAAGTGGCGCGTTTTTTTAATGTGGTTAAACTCAATTGGCTGCCCATACGGGACCGTAGAAATCTCAGAATTTTATGCATTTTCAGTGTTCTATACGATCCACGTGCCCCAGAATACTTGAAATCTAGGTTTCAGTTTTTGGGTCCCTCCAGACCACGAGATCTTCGCTCTTGCAGGCACCTTACCCTCAAAACTATTTTTCACCATTCTGGGTTCGTTTCCAAATCTTTCGCCATCACAGCTATACGTCTTTGGAATGCCACTGAATATTCGCAGTGCACGTAATAAGTTACAGTTCAAAAAACTAGTGTGTGTTCACTATCTGTCAAACTTATTTTCCTCTTAATCTGTAGTCATCTATATATCACATATTTATTTTATTTTTTTACTAATTTAGTGTATGTATGTTTATTTATGTATTTATTTATAAATATATATATATATATATATATATATGTGAATATATATGTGAATATATATGTGTAGGTGTAATATGTTTTTTATATTTATTGTTGTTATAGAATAGTTAGGTATAGTAGATAGTTTTTATGATCCACACTAAGTAGCTCATATTCTATCGCCATTACATTTCATCTCCTACACCTTTACTGATTGACTGGTAGAGAATGCCTATGGCATTAAGTCCGCCATTTACTGTTTTTATGGTAATAAAGAATAAATAAATAAATAAGTTGTCATAAAATGATTATTTTTATTTTCG